GATAATATTCAATAGATTATAACCTGCTTCATTCATAGTAAATATATTTCAACACCACAAGATTATCAAGAAATATAAAGTTCGTCTGTAATTCACCCTTTTGTAAATTAATTCAAATAAACAGAAATAATAAAGACATGTGTTAATTATTAATCAGTGCATTCACCCTTTACTTGCCCGGCAACCCCACACAACATCTAGTGGGTTTTTTGTTCTAAGTTAATTATTGCACGTTTGGCTGACGAGTTAAATTGTGGGATTATTTTCCGAACATTAGTAATAAATAATAAATTTTCTTCTAATCCTATTTTTCATATCTTATTTCATCTTTACTTCAACGTTGCTTATATTTAATGATGCATTTATTTATAGCTCTACTATTCAAAATATTTCTCATTATTTCACAAATTTATTAAATATAAGATTATTTTATATTCTTAATTATAAATTAAATTTATCAAATGTAATTAGATATAGATTTTATTATACTAAATGACGTATTCAATTTATGCAAAATATCTATTTTATGTAAATTCATTAAAAGAAAACATTATGTATATGTTATAAATCAAAATAAATATTATTATTTTTTAATAAGATTTTTATATTTTATTGTCTAAAATAAATAGTTTAATATAAAAATATAAATAAGAAAAATTTAGTATTAAATTCAGATGAAAAAAAAAATATATATAATATGTAGAAATTACTTATATAAAATAATTATATTAATTAATATTAAAAATAAGTAAGTCAAATTTAAATTGACATATTAGATTAAAAAATTATGAATTCTAAGTAAAAGTTATTTTATATGAATATGAAGAAACCTTAAGAAAAATATTACAATAAAAAAATATATAAGTATTTAAATTTCAAATTTAATTTTACAAAAATTTAGTAATCTGATTAGATACATAAAATTCGTCAACAGTGCTATTTTTAATTATTTTTAAATAAATTAATATATTTTAATACGATTAAAAATTTTTAATATACAAATTATTAGTTATTCTTAAATTTCTCTCAATTAGTATATAAATTTTGTTTTCGATTTTTAACTTATTTGACTTTTTGAATATGTAATTATCATATAATACGAAACAATTTAAATATAGAATAATATGTAAGTATAATATCAAATCATACAATATATAAAGTAACTGATATCTTATAACCAAGCAATTTATAAATTCAGAATAATCTGAGAAAATAATAATTTTATTACTTTACATAAATAAATTTTCAAAATACATAATCAAACAAAAGATATACACTATTTTAACATCTTTACAATAAACATATTGACAACTAACGAATAATACTTACATAATTATACATCAAATCAGCGTGCATATAATCGACTCCTAAAATGATAGAAAAATAATGTTCTTATTTATATAATAAATATTCTTAAAATCTTATTCCTATCATACATCTTGAAATCTACAATAACTAGAAAAAACATAAATAAGTAAGCCTTCAGGCTTTTCAACATTAATTTGTATTATATATTTATTATAGATAAACTTATGATAACGAATATAATTTAATAATTCAAAAATATTTACAAATATTAAAGACCGAGTAACTTTTCAAATGTAAGAAAAAATTGAGTTCTTAAATAACTAATACCCAATGGACTATGATGAATATTACACATAAAAATAAGAAGTCTTTTTCAGCTAAATTTAAATGAAATCATTTCTAAAAAAATAGAATTATTCTTTTTAACAAATAATAAATTATTATTATTTACTTAGTTATATTTTATTTGTATTTCGTTTAATTAATGAAATTATTTTTTCAGCTAGGAACAGCAAGATATTAATTATCATTAAAAGATTTTAAAATATATCATTTTAGTAATAATAAGTAATAATCAGCTATATCAATACATATGTGGGAGTGTGCGTGTGCTTGCGTGCGTACGACTGTGCGCGCGTGTTGCTCGTGACTCTGTTATAGCACAAACATTTACATTCCTATATAATTTATTTATGCAAATTTACTATTGATATACATATCAACATTTTTAACCATGAATAATCAATTACCAGAAAATTTTAATAATTTAAATAAATTACAATCATTTAAATAAGTGAATAGTTATGGGATAATGGTAATAATGTTTGTATGTAGTTTAATAACAAATTTTATATTAGTTAAAAAGAAAATAACTTTAAAAATGAAATATTTTCGAATAATTGTATACTGTATGCAATATATTTATAACCAGTTATATTATGAATAAAATAAAATTTTTTGATAACCTAGTGCTGTACAAAATAATTTAATTACTTATAATTTTATCTTTAAATGAATTAATTAAAATAATTAATTCTATGGGGTTTTAATTAACTAAATTATCAATAATAAAATATTGATATATTGAGAAAATAAAATAATACATTTCACTACTGTATATCCGTAATAGTACAATTTGCTTATAAGTAATTCATTGACGAATTGCCATTTATCAGATAATTTATAAGAATCACATCAATAAATAATTATATTCGTAAGTATTAAATTTTTGTTTATTATAATATTTAATTAAAAATTTATAATAAACTTAAATTCCTTCTTTATTAAAAATTGAAAGACTTCTACTTAATATATTGAAAATAATTTCAGTATTACTTTTTTTGAAAATTTTCAACATTTTAGGTAAACGTTTTCAAATTCACATATAAATTCTAATTTTATAATTGCTGAAATTTTATAATATTACAATTCAGTTATGTGCAAAAATTCAAATATATAGTTTAGTAGGTAAGAATTTTATGATTAACAGTTTATTTTAAATATTATTTAATATAATAGTAATTTTTACATGTTCCTTCTACTAGTATTAATGTTGCAGCTTTTATTTTAAGATTTTAGCCTTAAATATGATATTAAAATATAAGATTAAATTGTATTCATCATAAAAATAATAAATTTTAAATCAATGTATGTATCAATGCTGTAAAATGTAATATTATTTTATGTATAATAATTTATATTATAATTAAAATATAGTAATATATATATAAATTATAAATTCAACCTGATAAATAAAAAATTTATGTAGAATTAAATGTTAAATAGTTCTAGATAAACCATGGTTTTGGAGTTAAACAAATTATATAAATACTTCAAATAGAACACAACAGTGAATCATAAAAAGAAATTCACCATCGTCCATGATGGCTGTCGTGACATTTTTGCCTGTATATCCTTGAGCCCAGGCGGCCTCTACATTTAGATCAAGCTTTGGTTTACCTCCATTTTGACCTGTATTTTTTAAATACCATTGATACTGAAAATAAGGATCTGTGGGGTCCCGACTCACTGAATCACCGTCTGCGTTCTTGATATCATTCAACAATGGAATCATTTTGTCTACCTTTAAAGGTTTGTATCCCCTCTTCACTCGCTTAAAACCCGACTGCTGAATCGCAGTATGTATCTAAATATATAAAAAGTAGTATAAATTAAGATTAATTAATTTAATTAAATTATAAATATATTAGACAATTTCAATAACATAAACATATACATAGTAGCAATTCAGACCATTATTTTTTCATTAAAAATAATGCTTACATATTAAGGTTATAAATTTATTTATCTTATTAGAAATATTCCATTATTATTATATATCTATTACAAATTTTTATAACATAATTCAATTTTTCACTTTCATATAGCTCTAATAGATTATCTAGATTCAAACAATAATGCAAATCATAAAAGTGCTTACAAACTTGGTATTAATTATTTAAAAAGTAATCTTATAATTATTTATTAAATATATTATATAATATAAAGTATTCAATATATAAAATAATATATGTAATATAAATTAAATAAGCTAAAATGATACATTTCTTTTTTATTTCTATTTAAACAATAAGAGTAAAACGAATTTAAATTAATATATGTGCTTAATTAATAATACTTTCCTTAATCTTATAATATTAACAAACAAATTTTTTTTATAAATTAAACATTACATTACGAAAACACATCTCACTTTTTATTAGGTAAAACGAAAACTTATTATAGTTTATGAATTGAATAGATTTTATAAAAGATTTTCATAAAAATATGTAAATATAATTTAATATCTTTGCATAAAAACTATATATAAAATAAATTAATCAACTTATATAATATGTTTTTAATTTAATTTATTAATTTTTTAATTTATTAATCAACTTATATAATTTCAGCTACATATATGTAATATGTAAAATATCGATGATGCTATTAAAATAATTTAATACACTATTATCAAAATACATAGATTTAATGATTATAAATATTCACCACAATAATTTTAATACTAAATTTAATAAATGTTATATTTTTTATATAAAATGAATTAGTTTATTATTTAGCACGGAATAAATATATAAAAAAAATATTATTGAATATTTTCAAAATAAATTATAATATTTTACAATTTTTATATGAAGTACCTATTTTCGACTATTATTACGTATTTTTATATATAACTATACATATAACTATAATAATTTTTTATTATCTTTACAGGATATCGGAAAAATGTTATTTTCCAAACAGTAAGATAATAATTTTCTATTGTTAGTACTTTTAGTTCAATATGAATTATTTCTTACTTATATAAATTTAAAAAGCAAAAGGTAGATTTGTAGTAGTTTGTAATCTTAAGAATCATTCCAAAATTGTGTTTGAATCGAATCATCTTATGCCATATTTGCTTGTGTAATTGAAGATAAGGAAATACTTATTAAATATTTTTCAGGTTCGGCAATAAAATTTATATTTCAAACAGGTTTTTTATTTTCCATTATTATCTGAATTAACTTTTATTTGAAATATAAAAAATTTAATTTGTAATCTTTTAGTCATTCAATTTAAATCATGCCATTTGTTGAATAACTAGATAAAAAACTTAATTTTTCTCAAATACAAATAAAAAACTGAACTTAATAAACACAATAAGAAAAATTATTATCCCAACGTTTCGTTTTTGTATAAACATAGGTAATTTTATTCTTCTAAGTTATTATTTTGAAAAATATTATATCCTTATAAATATCTTTGACATGACAAATTTAATGCTTAATCCGGGTTTATACGATGCTGACAATGCAATATTTAAAACTATAATTACTTATAGAAAAATAAAATTAAATATAATCAATATTTAAAAATAATCTCTTTTTAGATTTACATCAATATAAAAACTATAAATTTTTTAATTAAATATTTAAATTTTTATAACTTTTTAAAAAATTTATTCAATTGTTGTAGTATTTCATTGTCAGTATAATAAATAACAATTCAAAATATTAAAAAAAAAATTCAATACAAAAAAAGAAGTGTGAGCAATATCAAAATTTGTATATAACATAGAATTTAGTATATTTATATTGTTAAGAAAATTAAAGAAAAAAGATGAAACATTACTCTTATGTAAATAATTTCAGTTAAAAATATATTTATGTTCAATCATAAAATATATTATAAAAAAATTTTCTATGGTATAAAAATTATTTATTATAATAATAACATTCTCGTACCATTGGATCTACCTTTAATCTTCGCACATGAGGTATGGATCTTCTGTTTCTTACATTAGGTAAGGCCCTATGCACAAAATGAAATTCTGTTTGACTTCCTAAAACCTGTAAAAATGCATATTATTTATTTTTTATGAAAACTATATTAATTTTAAAAACATACATGAAAGTAAACTATTGTAAATCTTGTATATATAATTTCGACTAAAAACTTTTTTTTCTTTTCATCTTACTACATATGTTATATTTCATCATAAAATGAATATATTTTTTATGCATATAAACTTTTACAATTTTTTGCTTATAAGAAAAATACAAATATAGATTGAATTAAAAATGAAATATGTATTAATAGATTATTAAATTCTATTTATAAAAATGTTTAGCTACTTTTTAATTGGCGTTCATTTTAAGTAAATGTTTGTAAGTAAAAATATATTTGAGTACTACAAAGAATCTCAAAGAAAAATTGTACAAATTTTTCATTTTAAAGCAATTAATCGTTTTAGTGTGCATTATTAGTATTTATACAAAACACACCTAGCCATTATATCAATACTACATAAAAGTTAACATATAAGTTTACTTTAACAATTAAAAAAATTTTTTTTAATTTTTATAAGTATTTGAACATATAAGTTTTTTTAACGTATGTATTACATGCATGTCATATATATGCATTTAGCAAATATAATCGTATAGCGATTACTTCATTTAACTGTACAGATATTTACTACAAGATATATACTATGTAGATATTTTAATTTCATTATGTATTTTATGTATCGAATTAGAATAATAATAAATCCTACTTTTACTAATATTTGATAGATTATATATCGATTGTTTAACTCATAAAAATTTTGAATTATGTTAAAAATCTTATAGTCGTTAGATTCCTTCTTACAGACCTTTAAGATTAAGCATAAGAATACGTCTTTTATAAATTTTTGAACATATGTTTTATCATGATATCAAAAGAAATGGATTAATTAAAATTTAATCTTATCATCTGAGGTACTACTAATTATAAAAAAATCGAACATAATGTATTAATAAACTTATATAAAATTAATATTTATTTATAAAAATTTTTTTTTAATTTTAAATCTCTGTTTTTAGTTTTTTAGAAAAATTATTTGATAGCAAATCTCTAAAAATTACTGTCCTGTTATCATGAAATAAAAATATAAAAATATAAAAGGAATTACTAATTTTATTACTACAATTTAAGATATATTATATATTTTATTTTTATGTTAATTTTGATTAAATGATTTTTTATACTAATTTTATGAAAAATCAATTAATAAAATATTTATATGTTATTAAAAAAATTTTGTTAGCATTCAAATGTTTAGAGTACAAAGTTGTTTCTATTAATTTAATTTGTATATTTATATATATTCTAATAAATTACAATATAAAAATCATAAATGTATATAATGAAATAGTGCTTCGATTCGTTTATAGTTTTTTTATGCAGAAAAACGGATTCAATTAAAAGTTATTTGTTAAGATCAATACTATTCTATTATTTTGTTCACTGTTTATTAAAGAACAGTTTATTAATTAATAATAAACGATTACTTTATTAAAAGAAGAAAAGGCTAAATATATTGGTAATGTTACGGATTTTAGTTTAATTAAATTTAAGTTTATTAAAAAGAATTTAATTCCCAAATACATACACCCTCTCTCAGTCAATTGTTGACTCATCCACATACACGCGCAGGCACACGCGCGCCCAAACATTCACTATAAGCTTTTAAGCTTCTAAAAAAGTTTTTAAAAAAAATTAATTTCAATTCTGTTTACGTATTATTTATTGACAACAAAAAAAAAACAAATGGAAATAATAGAGTTCGATTCAATATTCCTGGTTTTTGCATCATTAGTTTTATATAAGTAATAAAAAAGCCTAATAATTCTAAATGGTCAAATAATTTTAATTTGCAAGACACGATTGGTTTTTATAACTTGATTTTAAATAAAACAGCATAATAAAACAGCTACTTTTATCAGATATTAATAGATTCCATTGAATTTATAAAATTTTATTTTATCTTTAATTAAAAGTATGAAGCAAAAGTATCTTGTAGTATAACTTATGAAATATTGTATTAATTGTAATTACATAATATTTTTATCATTTTTACTTTCATCAAGAAATGATTTAAATAAAAGTCCTTCGCTGACGCATAGTCTACATATGAACATCGTTGAATTTTACCAAGTATAAATATTTTTAAACATTGTAATGGATTAAAAATAAAGTTACTTTGTTACCTATATTACCGAAATAAGAAAGTTTTTCAATTTTAATTATATTAATGAACTAATTTTTGATATTTTCAATTTAATTGTTATTTTTTTAAAATTTGTATGTATTTTGCAATATATATCTATTCTATAATAAAATCTAATGCAATATATATCAAATTCTATATTTCTAAAATATGACAATACTCAAAGATATTTATTGTTACGTGTTTATATTTATAATAATTTTAATGAATATCTGTTCTTTTAACTGCATCCAAATAATTATGTGAAAATAATGATAAAAGTTATGAATATAAATTAATTAAGTAATATTGCTAACTTAAACTAATTAGTAATTATAATTGTTAACAAACGAGTAAATTCAGTTCTAATTGTTATGATTATATTTTTTTATTTATTTAATTATGGAATATAAAAGACCAGTGTCAAAAATTGTAATAATTTTTCATAACATGATATTATGATATTAATTTCATAATTTCAGTGATTTTTTATTCCAATAATTTATTAATAGGTTTTTGTATTATTTCTCAAAGCCATCACATCGATTGATCAATAAATCCTATACTATTATGTTCGCTATCGTGTTAGTAATAATCATCTGTAATTATTGTTTGATTGATAATCTTGTGAAGGTTTTATATTATTGTAAAAGTTTAATAAAATAAGCATTTTTACAAAATGCTGTTTATAATATTAATATATAAATTTAATAGATCATGAAATTTGAATAATTTGTACTCTAATTAAAAACGAATCCATTATATATTTAAATTAATATTTATAGATTTACAAAACTATTTTATTTAAATGCTATAGGAATTATGATTCAATTCTTTATACCAGTTGAAAGTTCTGTTTTAAATAATACATCCATCACTTTATCTCGTATTATATATTTAAATATTTAATCATATGTGCCCATTCCCAATTTAACATAATAAAATTTTTTGGCATTATCTTATATCTACTTGATTAACACTAAATATCACAAAAATTTTCAAAATATTATGCATATTTCCTTAAGAGCCTTAGAAAGTTAGAAACCAACCAGGTATGTATAATATGAGTTGTAAAATTAATTATTTTATAGCTTATGTTTATTTATTTATAATGAATTTCTACTTATGCAACAGTTAGTGTTTCTTTCTTAATAAAATTAAAAATATAAAATACGATTAAATTTTTTTAATTGAAATCAATCATATAATAATTAAAAAATAAGAAAGCAAAAATATAGAATTATTTTTATTCTTAGAATAAAATATGGATAAAAATAAAAATCACAAAGCAATATATTTGTACTTTATATTTTTAATACATATTATTTAATTATTTTTAGCTATTAATTACAAATAAGTTTCATTTATAGTACATCACATATTATGTACATTTTGTAATGAAAATATACGATAAATTTGTATATGATTTATTTTTATTTATTTTTAAATATCTTTAATTTTTGAAAGATCATAAAAAGTAAGATAAAAATATTTACCGAGCCAAGATTGACGAATCCATTTCTGTAAGCGATTTGGTCAACCAGATGTCTAGCTGAAGGTTCTCTCATCCTTACAAGGAAGCTGTTGGTAAAAATCTCGGCCCGAACTTCCGTCAATCCACGGTTCATTGTTTGTAACAGTACTAAAAGAAACCCAAAAGTAAAAAATATCGATCTGCGATGCTGTCTTTTCGACGTTATTTTGTTCATCTTTGCATCGCTTTCATTCAACCTGGTGAAACAGTATCGATGGTATACATTTCGGCATATTATTCGTGCTAACACCGTTGAAAAAACGGGCACACGTGCACTAGCCATTACTGGTTGTCCCTGGCAGGAAGTCGACTGACGTTGATGTCGAGTTTCACCGTCCTTACCGTTCGTGTAAATGCTTACCTCCCTCTACCACCACCCTCTCCCACCCGGACACAGCTGAGAAAACCAGTTCGATTTTTCGTTTATCTTTCTCTCTTATCCTATATCCTTTTTGCTCTTACATTCACCCTCTTGTATTTACTCTGCAGGTTAAGCTTTAATCAATTGTTAGCTTTTCTTTCATACGAAATAGTACGTCTATCTATATTCTATCATCTTGTCCATAATAGTTTCATGCATTTTTGTTGTTGTAGCATAAATATTTTTATTTCAGTAAATTATCTAAAACTTGTATTTGAAATATTTCAAATGATTTAAAAAATATAAAACAACAAAGTGTAAAATATAAGAAACAATGAATGAGCGTAATATTGTTCCCGTTCTGCGCATATAAATTTGCTGCGCAGCTACGCAAAAGTTTTCCCTAATCATAATTAGCCTCAGATATTTTCATTTTATTTTTGATACTTTTCATTGACTAATACTATTTCAATATATTGATTTTCATCATCTTCCATTTCTATCAATAAAAAAAATAAAGACGATCCATTTTTTAAATTTTCTGTCTTCAAATATCTCCACTTATATCACATATTCTGTTCTTTATATATCATTCTATTGATGTATATTTACTTAAATACTAAGAAAATATTTGCATACGTAAATAAAGAATTTATTTTTAAAATTATAGCACAAAAATGTAACCATGATATATAAACTAAATTTACAATCAACTACATTGCTTGATAAAAGATAGAATGAATCATAAAAGCAGTTATTCAAACTTATATTGAAAAATGAAAAAAATAAGTATAGATTAAATATTATACAGAAGCGAGTTGAAAATAGAAATGCTATTATTTGTTGACATCAATTTTTTTTCAAATGAAAATTATACTCACTTGTTGAATAATGAAGCTGAAAGAAGGTTTTAAATATATTAAAACAGTAAATGTGTATACCGGTATTTTTATATACAAAATTCTATATTAATTAAATTAATTTTAATAATCATATGAATATTAATTACTAAAAAATATTATTAATTATTCCACCATTAATACATTTTTTCATCCAACTTTTGTTTTGTAAATAATTCATTATTTAATTATTATTTGATAAATTTTATTTGACAATAAAACATTACTTAAAATATATTTATATTTTATATTCACAAAATATTTAAATGAATAAAATAATATATAAATGTTAATGAAAATATACTTTTACACAAAAATTACTAAATTGTTAACTTACTTGCATTCTATATTTTCTTACATTTATTAAATTATTATAATAAAATCTCCTATTGATACTAAAATTATGTATTACAGTTTAAAATACTATAGAACATGAATGGATTCATATTAAAATAACAATCAAACGCAAGATGATGCATTATAACGATTTATGTATCTAATGTAACAACAAAAATTAATATGCGTCATTAATCCTAACATCAACTTAAGAACTAATATCAAGCTACGTCATAAACCATATCGATTGCCAATATTGTACGATGGTAAAATGCACACATAATATATGTAGAAGTGTTCCAGTAGAAAATATATATGAGACTCAGTTATATAGTGCAATAAAGAATATTTATTAGTATAGTAATAGAATACCAATAAGACAGGATTTCTTTGCATATATTTTTTGTTTATACATTTATAATTTTTTTTAGCTGATTATAGTAGTTATAAAAATTTGTAATAACATATAAATGAACTAATCTTGTAAATGTTAACGTGAAGCTTAAATCTGAATATATTAATAACTATCATTTTAATTTTAATGAACTAATATTAACAGTATTCAAATTTGTATAATCCATATATTTCAAGATATATTTTAAGAAAGAAACAAAGAAAAAAGCATTATTACCTCGTTTATGAGAACAACAATTACACAATTACTAATATATTGATATATACGTATGCTTATAAATATTCCAATGTAATAAATATTCGAATATTCCATATGTATATATATATATATATATATATATATATATTAAATTAAAAACAAAAGCATTAAAATTTCAAATAGTCCCATTATTTATTTATTTACAAATATGAAAGAGATGTGTTTAATTAATTTTACAATTCATTTAATTTTTTAAAATCGAATTCTTCAATAAATAACTCAATTTTGTAATTGAATAGTTTTTACTTTATAATAAGATGTAGTTTATATATATATATATATAACGTATATAAAAATTAATTATGCAGTCTAGAAAATATGAAAAACTACATCTTATTATAAAGTAAAAACTATTCAATTACAAAATTGAGTTATTTATTGAGAATTCGATTTTAAAAAATTAAATGAATTGTAAAATTAATTAAACATATCTCTTTCATATTTGTAAATAAATAAATAATGGGACTATATGGGACTGTTTGAAATTTTAATGCTTTTGTTTTTAATTTAATAATATAATTGAATTTTCAATACCTTTTTATAAAAAATTTTTTTTAATTTTTTAACTTACTATTTATACTTTTAAAGTTAATCTTTAAACGTGCATATGCGTGTGATTCTTAAAAAATTGATGCAATTTGAATTAACTTAAAATTAACTCGTAATGAATAAAAGACTTCATTTATAGTAAAGTCGGATATACTCAAAAATAAGAAGCATGAATGAGAACAATTTTTATTTTTAAAATAAAATAAACAAAAATCATTAAATATTTTTTATTAATGTATACAGACAAGTTATTAAAATTAATTTATATTTAATAAAATAATTAAAAATATAAACAATACTTAAATTCCATTTGCTGCAATTTAATTTATTTGTAAATGGAATTTAAATTAGTTTTACTCAGATTACTCCGAATAAAATAGAGTTTAAAAAATAAATTGATATTATTCCTATATTAAAAGGGCATATTAATTGAAAATTAAAATATCAAATAAAAATATGGTCTTACATTTCTTTTTCTTAATAAAATTGCTCTTTTATTTTTTTTTTATCTGAACTCAATAATAACCAGGCTGTTAGAGGGAGCAGTTATGATAAAACATGAACGTAACTTAATTCTCTATACTATATATTTTACTGGTGATTATTTAAATAAAAGATAATAATTTTGTTCCACTTTGATATATACTTTATGATATTTTAAAATATTCATTTATGCTGAATTACTTATTTGTATTCACTAAAATATAAAACAAATATTCTATAATAACAAGAAATACTAGCAGATGAACTGTTCCAGCATACTTACCATATATATATATATAATTGAAAGTGAATTAAATATATTTTATTATATTCTTATACTAAATTATTATTTTATTATTTTATAATATAATAAAATATTATTTTATTATTTCATTATACTAAAAATAATTTGATTAAAAATCGTTAATGTAACTTTAGTCACAAAAACATTAAAATCGATTGCATGTATTATGTACGTGTAATAAGCATATAACCAAAATATCAATAGTCTACAAAATTTTAGGAAAATTGTGCAAAATGAAATAAAAATGAATCTTAGAATTTCATTCCACATCTTCAATTGTCTATGATAAAAGCGTTTATTTTAAATATGTATATTAAAAATTGAAACTATGATTACAACATTTATTTTATGTAGTTTATAAATTCTATAAAAATCTTAAATAATATTTTTCTTTTAATCGTCTGAATGTTATAAATATTAGAAGAAAAATAAAAGAATATGGTACATTCTTAATTAATATTTCATAAACTCTTTGGAACCATTTTAATCTTATAATTAGATTATAATATTTTATTTACAGTTTTAAATTAATTTAGAAATGACAGGTACACCTGATTATTCATAAATATACAAATCTTAAAAATTATAAATTATTTTATACTGTATTAAATATAGATCAATAATATACCTTCAAGTAAATTACGTAATAATGAAATCATTTCTACCTAAGAATTAAGAAAAATATGTACTATAAATTACACATCTTTTTCAAATTTTCTAAAAAGTGTATAGTGAAATCCAAGTATTTATAAGATAAAAATCGAATTATCAAAATCGAGTTACTAAAAATCGAATATATCAAAATTTTTAAAAAGTTTTGAAAATTAAACGGTAATAGTTATAATTACCTATCTTCAATTTATCTTTGCATAAATTTATAAAGAATTTATATTAAAATAATATTAAGTGAACTATAATGTATGCATGTATGTATGTATGTATGCATGCATGTATGCATGTATGTAACCATAAAGGATAAATCTTAAAAATTCCAAATGAATTTAATAGATTAATAAAATATAATGTATCCTATTTTTAACTTATTCTTAAAAGAAGAAAATAAAGAAAAATTACATAACGATGACGTTTAAATTCAATAATAATTTGGATGTGAAATACAGTCTGTTTAAAACATGTCTGTTATTAAAGTAGTACTTAGAGCGTTAAATGATTTTAAATATTTAAATAATAAAAATAAGAGATTAATTAACATTTATTAATAGAATTATTAATAAAGGATCTGTTAATTTCAATAGATACTCACTCTTTGTAGGCATGACAACCTTCAAAATAATATTATAATATATATCAACGGAACAGAAATCGTATCCACTGAGCAATATATTAAATCCCAAACATAAAAATATATAAAAAATATCAACGTTGCAGTATCCGTTATAAACACATTCGCACACAAATTATATATGCAGTATTTTAGTAATATATGCATAGACACATATATAACTGAATAAGAAATAAAGCAATTCCGTAAACAATTGTATAAATCCATCTTTACTGAAGTAATTATATTTTACATTTTCATTAAAATGTTTAATCCTCTTATTTATTTTAAAATTAACTTAATTTTAAATTTTTTAAATTAGTTTCGAAAATCATTAGGTGATTCATAATATATAATTTGTATTACTACAAATAAAGCGATACTTAAATATTTGTCATATTTAAAACTTTTTCATTCATTACATATTCTTCATATTTTTAATAAAATGATATCAATCCTCGGTATACGAGATTTATTAATAAGAGGTAATTGCCAATAAAAAGTTTAACAAAAACATTTAACAATCAGCGTGGTTTACACTAACAGTGTTTAAAAAATATATATAGTTTAAGGTTTATATTATAATTTTTCATTTTAGCGAATATTTTGATATATTTTACTATTTGTATTTGTCTCTTAACTTCATTACCTCTATTCTCAAAATATTTTAATTCTATTCCAAAGCTTAATTTTTTGGATTTTTTTTTATACTTATTATATTTTTAATTATTATTCTAATTTATGATATAATATTCGACGATATAAAGCGTAATATATTTACTTTAAATGTATTTTTTATCATTTATATCTTCTAGCCCGTTTTGTTAACATATAGAAAAAAATAAACTCCTGAAAATTGTACTATTTTAAACTTATACATAAATTCACTAAGGTTTATTTTTTATTTTACTTTTGTATATACTTTTTTAATATTTTTTATTTTTATTCAAATATATAATTGGTGGTGAATAGAACTAATTATACAAACAATATATACTATAATATTAAAAATTGAATTAATATTTAAACTATATAGTTTTGTTATTTGAACAATGGGGTTTAATGTAATTGTAAATTTGATTAAATTCAACGTGTGCAAAACTTTTAACAACTAAAAAGCATCGCTAAAAATAAATACACTTGATTACAATGTTTTAAATTTTGTTGAAATTAATTCCAAACATATATAATTCATATAGGCATATGTTTTATTTGAAAAATAGATAAAAATAATTACTTATTAGCGATATTTAAAAAATTTCTTTTTTCTTGTATAATAAAAAATATTTTTGATTATTTTTTATTCTATCTCGATAATATAAATAAAAAATTGAAATTACTCGTTTTAATACTAATTTAGTTCATTTAATAATATTAAACAATTTAAAAATTTGATCTTTTTCTAGTAAATACTTTAACTACAAATATTTATTACAAATAAATGTTAACATTGAATTACAAAGCTAAATAATTAATTAATAATGATTGGATTCCAAAATAAATCCATCTTATATTAAAATGCTGAAATTGTAATAATTGATATAGATATTATATTCAGGTAATTCTTACATTTCTAAGCTCTATTTAGATTTATAAACAAGAAATTATCAATTACATACTAATGTAAAGTAAAAATACAATTTTAGAGTTAATTACTAAAATCGATGAACTATAATACTTGAAAAAATATTAATGATTTTTAATTATGATAATACAAATTTTTAAAATATATAAATTTGTTTATATATAATTATATAAATAAGAAATTACATATAATTCTTATGATAACTTTTAAGATAACTCTTAAAATTTTACTTTTATTAATTTTATACATCATAATTTTCTTTTTATACTTTTTACCAATATTTTTTCTAAAATACTAACGATTTTGTTTATAAATTTGTTGATATTAATAGATTAAATGAGCAATATATATTAAAATGACAGTTTTAGTTAATTGTCTTATAGAAATGTATATTAGTAATATGCGCATAAAGGATTTAATAAAATTTACAATCAACACTAATACAGAATCATTCCCAATAAATTTTTTTTGTAATAATGGTTAAAAATTTCTTTTTTTATATAACAATATAATTACTATATCAATATTTTTATATACACAATATATCTAGCAGTAACTATAATTTATTAATTTATTTAATATCAGGTATAATATATTATTTTTCTTTGTTTTATCAAGTTTTTTCTTTGTTTTTCTGTTTGTAACGCATAAACCCTCTTCTGTTTTAATTTAATATTTTCGCATAACTTTTTATTTTTATACTTATCACTTTATTTTATTTCTTAATTCATTTTCAATTATGAGTAAAGTTTACAATGTATGCATATCGTATGGAAAATTTACGATCAAAGCAACATCTCTTTTTTTTATTAGAATTTTCGCTCGATCATAAGCCAATTATTGTCAATATATTCGGAGTAGTGTCACTGATGAGGCATATTGGAGTAGATTTACCTTTACTAGCCTTTATTAGCCTTTGTTAGGATAATAATACTTAATTATAATTTATAGTAAAGATTATTATATGAAAAATTATATCATTACTACTTTACACATGATATTTCCATATCTATCAATAACGTAAGAATAATTTATCTTGTATATATTTGAATATTTTAACGTAATTTTATAAACTATATAATTTCACAATTTTTTATTAATTTTTCTGTTTCGTTACTTGACTTGTTATTTATATATCTATTTATTTTAAATGACGTAAAATAAAATTTATAATCTTTACCTTACATATCTTGAGAACTTAATTTTGAATCTGAGCTATTCTGACAACTTTCTTCGGTTCCTATATTTTCTCGGTTCTTTGGATTATGAACATAAATTATTTCATTTCCACAAAAGATCCACATGAATTAACCAATTATATCTACCTCAATTATTCAATATACATAATTCATTATCCATTATAATCGTAGTAATTTATCAAAATAATCAACTAATATATAGTTTGTAAACATTTTATTTTATATTGACTCATTTAACAGAATTTAAGTCTTGTATAGTCATTAAATGTCAATATTTCAATATTCAATGGATTATTCAATATATACGTACTTTTGCCAGTGTAATACATATAATTATGTATATATTTATGCCTATTGTTTATTAATTTATATACTTATATATATTTATATTTATATGTTATTTCATCTTATATTTAGATATATTTTTTCTGATTCTCTTTTTCCTTAACACCAAATGTGGGTCAATGGAACGTTAAAATTTGCTTTCGTTCTTTGAATTTGTATTATTTCTTTTATTTTTTGAATGCATAGTAATGTAATGTTAACAACATAATTTGTACGTTTTTATTCACACATTTTTTGTAAAATTATTATTAACATTTGATGTTTATTTTTAAAATTAACATTTTCGATCCATTTACTATTACCTATTGTTGAAGATTCTTTAAAACTTTTTTGTTTTGTTGAAAACTTAAACTATTACATAACGATCTCATACTTTAGTACCACAATAGTATTTTAATCTCAAATACATAGTAATTTATACGCATCAATTTGTATTTAATTATTTTCTATTTAAAAATGTTTAAATTTCGATGAAATTCTTCAAAATTTTATTTGTTTAACATACGTGTTTTTCAGTGGCTTCAATTTCTCTGTCTTGAATATTATTGGAAAATGTACGTGAGAAAATTCTTTTATATGTTAATAAATTTATTTTCATTCCTCAATATTCCAATTTTGCGAATTAAATATGTGTACGTGTATGTACGGTTGTGGGTATAATCATGCACTCATGAGCTCGAAAGTTGTCATTGTATTAAAAAAAAAAAAAAAAAAAAAAAAAAGAATCGAAGAGAAAAGAAAATAAATATTCATAGGAGTTGGATATGAGGAAGGTAATTGATGGGCTTAGAAAGAAAAAAACGCATAATATATGTTTTTATTTTTCTTTTTAGAGTATGTAGAAGAATCAGACGTATCTCCTAGGTAAAGATATATCACGATCCATTAATTTCGACTCGGATTAGTTCTCCAACAGCTGTCTTCGAAGTGAGCTAAACCCACCATAATTTACTTTATTCTCATACCATGAATTTAAATGTAATCTTTTGCTTATTTAGCATATTATAAAATATTTTCACAATTGGTACCATTTTTTGTCTTTATACTTAAGCATGAGTGTATGAGCTGAGGAGGCAAAATTTTCTGACTCGTTCATCATACGAGCTGTACGATCCTCTAACTGAGAGAGCTTTTCACCCCGTTCAACTATCATTTGATGAGCCACAATGACCTGTAAATTTAAAATATTGCAAATTAAATTGTCACTTGTAATTATAATATTATAATATTATAATATTATAATAAAACATTATATTCATCATAAATTAATCATAATAGTAATAAATATTATATATTTTTCATTTTTTTAAATATATTAAATTAATATAATAAAATATTTTACATTTCCTATAGAATTACAAAAGTTATTTTATTGTATCAATAGTTTCAGTAGGTTAAAAAAAATCTATATAATTAAAAATACTTGCTATATTATGAATCAAATCTAAATTAAAATATTCAATGCGATACACAATAATCATGAATTGAAAAAGACAAATGAAAACAGTGTAGGTGTTATTCACCTCGTTCGTGGCAATCGAAACTCGTTCTCGAATTCCCTCGGTGCTCATATTCGGTCCAGGTATTCGATTCGCTACAGTCCTCGATGCCTTACCGCTAGCTTCGCCAACTATAACAAATCAAAGTATCTTTCAAGATTTTCAACTTTTTAAATCTTTGAAATTTCTTGATTATAAATATATACATAATTCTTCACGATCAATGCTTCGAGTACCGCCACCGAATAAACCCTTAAAAAAACTTTCTTTAGGAGGTTCAGGCATGTCTTGCCCAATGAATAAGTCTCCCATCATTTCAGTCAGTTCTGAACTGTAATAAAGTTATATCATTAGAATAATATTTCAAACAATTGGTTATTCATAATAAAATAATAAGAAATGCCCTTTAGAGTTCTTAAATATATTTTAACTTATTCAAATTATTAATTCTAATTTAAGATTGTTTAAATAAGACAGAAAGATTCATAAATTTTCAAATAATACTTCTAAATTTCATTAATTTATTTTTATTTTTGAAATAGCAAAACGACTTATTCAATAATTAAATAAAAAATTTTTAATATTACCAAAATTCACTAGAAATCGTAAACTTTTGGATTTCTGTTGGTGACGACAAATAAAATCCATGTCCACGGTTACTGAAGCATAAAGTCCTTGCAACTCTATAATATCATATTAACTAATTACCAAATTTTTAAAAATATAATAGCAAATATGTTTTAGTATATAAAATATATTTTCTCTTATCTAAAATGTTATAAAACTAAAACGGTACCAATAAAAAATAAAATATTATATAGATTCTATTATATAACTTCTATTATACAATAAAATAATAGCAATATTATTTTTAAATCTTGTAAAATTACATAAGAAAATAAAAATCAGTGATGAAATTAAAACATTTATATTCCACAACTATTCTATAAAAAGTAATGATATAAATAAACGCAGAAATATATAATATAGATAAATGACAATTTTTTAGACATTACAAATTACAAAAGCGAATAGTAAGGTAATATAATGATATTATCTATAATTTTAATATTTTATATATATTATTAAGAATTATTGAAACGCATACGCACGCATGCATGTGTGTAAGTATGTAAGGATGCAATATTAATAAAGAACTTACTGATCATTATCGCCATTTACAAAAAGTTGATGTCCCCATATGGATAACATGGGATCTACTATGCCATGTTTAATAGTATTAAAACTGTTAAAGATTATATAAATATAGATTAGGGCCGTATACATTGAAACACAAAATTTTTCTAGCTTTTTTTATCTGATCTATACATACTTGTTAGTAAAAAAATCTCCGTAAAATTGAAAAATATTTTAAACAAAGTTATTTTATCCACTTTAATTCACATATTTTTTAAAAAGAAAAGCATTTTATATTTAATTATTGGCACACATTAAAGATCGTATTATGAAAAGTCTGGTTATTAAAATGTAAAAATTTAAATTAATTAATTAGTAAAAATTTTAAAGTCAATTGAAAATATAATAATTTCAGAATATTTCAACTTACTTAATTTTTTTTTCAAAGTAATATAAAATAATAAATTCTATATAATATAATCAATCCTATAAAATATAATAAATTCTATATAATATAATCAATCCTATATAATATAATAAATTCTATATAATATAATCAATCCTACATAATATAATAAATTCTTTAACTTTTTAATACTATATATATCAAAAAGTATTCTCTAAAAAAAGATAAATTAATTATCTCAAAAAAATATATATGGTCGACAATTTAAAATATTTTATACTTTTCTTTATGTAATAATTCATTTCAATAATTAATAAAATTATTATACATTCATTAGTTAAATCATATACAAAGAAAATACTATAATTAAATATTAATTGGACGAAATATTTAATTTAGATATATTATATAGGTGTATTATATTATATAGGTATAGATAATTATACATTCTTTAGTTAAATATATACCAGGAAAATACTGTGATTCTACAATTTTTAATACAAAAATATATAGAAAAGAAAAGTAATTTATAAAATTGCCATTATCAATGTAGTTATATTTATTTAGTGATTCAATTATTAATATTCAATATTTACATTGCAAAATAACATAGCTACTTACTTCTTCTAGTAGAAATTTTGAATGCTGATTTCCTGATATTCGCCTTTTACATTTTCATAAAACTTATGACTCTTTATAAAGTTTGTTTTAATAAATTAGATAATATTTAAAGTCATTTAATAGAAAAATAATCTCATGAACTTAAAATATGTTGAAAGTGCATTATTAGAGAATTCACATTGATCATGCTTTGAACTTTAATTTCGTGTAAATATTATATAATATGCACAAGTATAAAATTATCATACCTGTGGATATACAAAAATGACTATATATAAGACTATGTAGTATATTGTATACAGGTATATGTAAAAATTAACTGCTATATTGTTGACAATTTTTATGTGCTTAAAAAGATACGAAAAACATTATTTTAATTGTTTATTGTTGGCATTAGTAGTTTGAATCACGAAAAATAATGTATATTTTAATTATAGGAAAGATACACATATGTATAAAAATAATATAGATAATATACTTTAAAACGTATTCATTTTATACAAATATTGAGTGGACTACCATTCACTTATACACATATATAATTATATGAAAATGTATATTATAAGTAAAAACTAATAAGCATTTGGTCATTTAATATATTTTAGTTGATAATGATAGAACATGTGTGTATTTAATACGAGTATTGTTGTCTAAATACTAATCTATTTATTTATTTATATTAATTTCAGATTAAGTTATTCATTTATTCATTTATTAAAAGTAGTGAGCAATAAGCTGCAAAACAATGTGAACTGTATATCCTAAACATTTGTGCGTACGTAATTAATAATTTTATTTAAACACGCAAGACAATAGTCAGGTGCAATTTTTAGTTAAGAAAATTAATACTTTTCTTACCTTAAGTTTGATACGGGAACAAAGTCGATATCTAAAAGTGGCCTTAGACTCGGTAGACTAAATGAGCAAATATGACCATTTGAAACATAACATACCAAGCAGACACTATCTATAAATATCATATGAAAGTTATGAATTATTATTTATTAAAGATATAAATCAACTAACTTTTAACGCTATTAATTCTATGTAGTTAAACAATTCTAATATTTAGTAAATTAAATAGTTCATAATAAATATAAATTAATTATTACAAAAATTAATGATTTTCAACTTTTCAAAAAATTATTTTTATTCTGAACTATTGATAGATATTAACGTAATTAAATATTTAGTTGAATCAATATTGAAAAACTTGAATTGAATTGAAAAACTTATTCAAAATTTCTATTAATAATTTTTTTTATATTTATAAAATACCTAATTCAAGATCCTATGAAATATCATAAAAAATAATAAAGAATAATTGCACAAAACCTTTCAAAGATGTTATTTCTGCCTTTATAACAATATTTGTATCAGTTAATTGTTGTTTATAGATACAGTTCTGTGATGGTAGAGCAATAACTTTAGCTTGCTTTTGAGATGTGAGTACGATAAATTGCCTATCTTCATAGCTATCAGAACCAGACCCTTGAGAGTGAATTGAAGATGACATACGTGTAGTCAAAAATTTGCCTTGATTTTCTATAAATCGGAATTATTGAAATTAAAATTAAAATAATAAATCTTAGTTTATAAAATATCTTTAATTTTTTAAATAGATATTAATAAATGAATTTAAAGGAAATGGAATTATATGATACTTTCAAAACAAATAGTGAAATGTATATATTTGATATATATACATACAATGCAAATATGAAATGTATATGTAAAGAAAAGAATATATACATTATATAAAATTATTTATAAATATTCATCTATTTTTATCTGAATTTTTATGTAACAAATATACAATAATAATATTGAAATTATTTAAAGAAGATAATTTTAAATAATTCAATCTAATTAATAACTAACTTTTTATTATTAGTTTTGTAATATATATTTTTATATAATTTTGAAATTAAAATTTATGTTATACTAAAGATGGAATTGAAATACTTTATTACGTAGAGCTTATTAAAAAATAAAATATAGAAAGTTGGGTAAAAATTGTAATAATTCAATCATTAAATAATGGTTATCTATCAGATGATAAAAGAGCATTCTGTATTGACATATTTCTTTCTGTATTTAATAATAAATTGTATTTATTCTTAATTTTACTTAGTTATATTACCTTAAACTTCAAAAATAAATTTACCACTTAAAAACTATATAATTTATTATTATATTTATAATAATTTCTTGAAAATAATATTTTATAAATAAAATTATTTAATAAACATACTGTTGCGATCTTTAGAATCTGTATTTTCATCCTTCCAAGATTCATAGGAATATGGAATCAAAGCTCCAAAGCAATCCAAAAAAGACATCGTTAAAATACATCCTTTTAGTTTAAATGTAGAGCCATCTACGTATAAATGAATTAATAAATTTTACTTTCAAATTTTCAAATTGTAATAAAAACAGAATAATTGCGAAATTATAAATATTATTACTTCTTCAAATACTCACTACAACTAGAAATAACCACAGGTTGTGCATGTCTATCACCAGAAGCAGGTGTATTAAATACAATAGTTTGTACAGAACCCGAAAACGTTCCAATCCATAACGTCGGGAAGGCATTAGAATCTGCAAATGCTTAAACGTTAATGTATACTGTATAAATATAAACGACAATTATATAAAAATCTTTGCACTGAATTGATTTAGTAAATTAATTTACAGATATATTCCTAACGTTTTATTTCTGAATAATTATAAATTGAAATATAATATAAATATTTTAAATACCGCTCTTTTTCGTATAGGAATCGGCAAAAGTAAGGCAGCTGACGGTTTCAGTGGCAATATTTTCTAGCGAAGACATACTTGAACTTCGGGATCGTTGGAATGAACTGTCGAGTTTATCTATTCAACAAGTATTTAAAAAAATTATTTTAATCTATTAATATATACAAAAAACAAATATGTTTCATAAAATAATTCTACTGAAACATGCACGAGACAAATTTATAGATACATTTTTTCAGAATAAATTTTTTGAAGAAATGATATAAATAGAAACAATAAATAAATATATATATTGAAATATATTATTTATTCGAGCACGGATTCGTCTGTATTTTTAATTCTAAAAACAAATATATATAAAATAAATACAGAAAAATCTGGACATATCCAAAGTAAAAAAAAAACACATATTGTATATGTATTATATACTACGCATGTGATTCATATTTGTGCAGTGTATGGGCGTATTTGTATAATAAAACTCGAAATATTGAAAATGCAGTAATATATATTTCAAACACGATCCTAACCACAACGACAATAATAATAATATAATAAAAGCTTGTTTATATCTTTTTAAATTTAATTTGCAATTAATTATTTTCATTAGTCAAATATTGTTTAAATTTACAGTACTTATGATACAATAAATTATAAAAAATTTAACATTAAATAATAATGTTAAATTTAACATTAAATCTAGATTCTTCTCTAGTTTTTCTATGAATAATTATTCATCGGTTTAATTGTTAATTAGTAATTATATTTTATATATATATAATGCTTACAGACATGTTTGTTTCAATTTTCTTGAATTGTACCATTAAGATTGTCACTCATTTTCAAAATTCATTAAGTGATATTATTATTCAGTAAAAAATATTTTATGAATTCTTGTATTTTATTTTTGTGTAAAAATAAACAATATATATAATTATACATATAAATATATATATATATATTTATATATACATATATACTATTTACTTCAATCAATATATAAATTACATAGATATGAATTGATATAAATTGTAAGTATTAAAATCACAGAAAATTGTATATTAAATACATGTTCGGCTTTACTTAAAAAATGAATTTTAGTTTTTATTTTGTAAATAAAATTTTGTAAATAAATGTGAATAAATGTAGTATTTTGTAAATAAAATGTATTAGTACAAAAAAAAACTCTACAATTCATTAAAATACAATATCAAGCTTAATTTAATAAAAAATTTATATAAATTTCAATCCCTTATAATTGTTTTTATTATTTGTTGTTTTTATTATTAATTGTTTTAATTATAATTATTATTCATATAAATACATAATCTGAATTTTTCATGATCAATTCATAAATGATTAAATAAAATATATTATTACCAATTTATATCAATTTGTAAAGCGTGGCTATTCTGTTTACAAACTCTTCATTCAATGTAATTTCTAAATTTTGTAAATATTAAATAAACATACATATGACTGAGTTTGAAATAAATATTGAAAGAAACTTATCTGCGATACTGCAAGTAGAGATAAAAAGTTGAAAAACCAGACAAAAATATAATAGAACTATTCAATTAATTGTAAAAGTGCGATACAATACCAAGAAGAAAGAACCTATTAAATAGGTGACTTATAGAAACAGGTGCACATTTGTTCAATAACAGAAGTAATTCCTCTTTCTCAATTATATTAATTTTAATTATTAAATTCAAATCACAAAACTACAAAAAGATATAGAAATATGTTAAAAATGAATTATCAAAACCGTCAATTCAATAAAAAAGCAAATAGAGAAATGAAGAAAATTAAATATGCATTTTACTAATTATAATCATAAGAAAAATAAATGAATAAATCGATGAATCGGAAAATATATTTGCTATTTGTAGATTAAAAGCAACGCAAATCAAACAATCCGCTTCCATTCTTTATTCATTAATTTCCTTTATTATTTATTATCTTCATTGATGTTGATCCATTTTTAGTTGTCATTTGAAAACGCAATAATAACAAAAGACCTCCTTTGTGATTTATGATACATTAACAAATTTAATTTATTTTTAATTACAAAATTATTAAAAACACTTTTAATTTAAAATTAATAATTAAAAAATACATTTTTTTATATTATTTATTAAAAAGTTTTAAAAATGAACAAATCTTTATATATATATATATATATATATATATATACTGGTAATAGTTACCTAAATAAAAAATAAGTTTTATAACTAAATTAGAAACCTGCCAAATTATATAATATAATCAAACTTAAAAAATTTATAATACCCAATATATATAAATAATAATGTACTTTAATGACGTAAGCTTACCTTAATCGGGTCATTTAGAGATTAAAATATAATAATGTAAAGAGTAGAATCATAAATACATAATTAAATCACGTACAATTACACATCACATCATTTTTTATTTTTGTTTATCTTTTGTTAAGTAATATTAATATATTTTTTAGCATTAAAAGTCAAAGTGTGATTAAGAGGAAGGGAGACAGAAAGAGAATTTGTGTACGTGATTTTAAATTAAAACTTGTTTATAATATAAAGTTAATTTGAAATATAAATTAATAATCTTTATAATTTATTTAAAAATTAGGAGAAAAATTTATTTAAAAATAAATAAGATTTATTATAAGTACAATATCTTAAAAAATTACACTTTATAAATTAAATTATAATAAATGGTAAATTTATATCTGAGTACATTTAGTACTTAATAAAAAATATTTATCTTATTTAATAATATCGAATTTTAATTCTTTGATCATAGATAAATATCTTTTCTATTCAAACAATTATGATGAATTTTGAACCTTATACTAAATACAAATATATATATATATATATATATATATATGAAGTAAAAAAGTAAAAAAATAAAATAGTTTATATAATATGATTATTGCAATAGTATCCTAATTATAATTACCAACTACTACTGTATCTTATCCTCGTCAATATCGTCAGTATTATTATTATAGCTTTAGTAATGATCAGAAATTGTAATCATTATTGTTATTATAGAAAAATAACTGTAAGCAAATATAACGAGAAAAAAATCTGTAGTATAGGAAGTTATATGTAAATAATAATTAGAGTAGCAATGTAGCACAGTAAGGTAGAATAATAGTCATAGTAATACTAATTTATGTATAAAATATAAAAATTGTTTTGTTAATAATAATACTACCAAAACTGCTATACGGTCTGGTGTTGGTGAGGATATACGAGGAAGATAAAGAAGCCTGGGGATAGGTGGTAGCTGAGTAGCCGCGTATGTCAATACTGCGCTGAGCATGAAATGGGAAGGTTGTTGCAAAGCCACTGGATGAGCCTTCGATCCCGGTCTCGTAGTAGGTGACTGAGGTACTTAGACACTTCTGCAACTTTCGTATACCTTGAGTACGCCCACCGCCGCTACTTCCGCTACCATGCCGACCGCCACAGGTTCCGGCAATAAGGCCGGCATCGGACCTGCGAAACAGTGAACTTGCGGACTGTCCGAGGCTCTTTTCACCTCCACCACCATCGATATCCTCTTCGGCGGTCTCATCAGCCGTAATATTACTCTGGCATATTACGCTATAATCGCCCTCCGCAATTCCAGATGCTCCTCCACTCTCTGTGCTACGTCCTGCAGTTGGTGAAACACAAGTCCCGTTCATCTATAAACCAGGCAAATCATACAATCCTAGACATTCACAATCTACTAATTATCACTCTAGTATGCATCTCTATATCTCTCTTCCCTCCCCCGCCCTGCTCATCCAACTAGGTGACTAAACAATATGCTCAATAATACACAAAGATAGGATAGTTAAGCAACTTGCTTTTAAAATTTGGGCCTGTAATATTAAAATATTTTATTATGATGTATATTAACTCGCTCTTTTTATGTAGCTATAATTATTTTATTTTCTAACACAAGCTGCTGCACTTGTAAAATAATTTTTATACAAACTTTAATATTTATTATAAAATTCTAAAATTTGTAAATGAGAAATTTATTATATAAAAAAAATATATATATTCATCACGGATGTGCAAAAACAATCGAAAAAAATAATAAAATAAAAATATCTATCCATTATTATAAAAAACTTCGCCATAAAATTTATTAATTATGCTAACAAAATAAGTATGACATTTTATTGCACTAAAAAAAACCCTTAATTAAACCCTTAATTAAAAAAGCAATATTTTTAAATATTGATTTATATAAAGGCATAATTGTATATTAAATAAAAATTCCTTATAGATAGATGTTTCCTGTATGGCGTATTAATATTATACAGCCCTCTGCAACAATAAATTATAATATTCTTCAAAACGCTATATATAAAAATAATAAATGATTACATTGGACATCTTATAGTCATTGATATACATATATAAATATATGTATATATATATATATATATATATATATATATATACATTTCATACTCTATAAAACACATTAAGCTTATACAAAATCATAAAATTTCATGTACGTGTATTTTTCAAACTGAATACTTAATTATAAACAATAATTACATTTCAAATATCACTAAATTAAAATATAGGACTACTTACCTGTTATAGCTTATTTGTATTATATTTAGAATAGATAATAATATACATTTATCACTATGAATAGTTTTAATTTTTATTTTCATTATTTCAAATTAAATGTACAAATATTAAGATTAATTGAATACATTCATGATGAATGAAAACCGAATTAAATATTATTACCATAATGTAACTAATTATTGATATAATTTATTATATATTACAATACTTAATACTTTATAAATAAAAAATAGTATTTTTATAAGAAAAAAACAAATACTATACATTGAAAAATTATAATAAAATAATTATAGAATATAAATAAATTTGCACAAAAACATTTGAGCAAGTTTTTTATTTTACTTATATTTTACAATAGTTTATAACAGTAGATTAAGAACTTTTATCTTCAAGGTGAAACAAATATTAAATTTGATGTAAAAAATTCCTTTAATTTCTTATAAATTTTATTATAATATTAAAATAACAAGAAAAAAGGTTACATTAATATATAATATATTATAATTATATTATATTAATATATAATATAATATATAATATATATATATTACATTAAATATATAAAAACATAAACTCAACATAAAAAGGCAAACGCCCCTAAAACTAATATATATCATTAAATAACGGATGATCAAATTAAAAAAGGATAAGAAGATTTAGGACAAATAAATAATAAATTTTATAATGAACTATAAAAAGAATTCTTTGTAAATAGTCACTAGTCTTTTCGAGAAACAATTACTACAGTATAATAGAAAAAATTCTAGAATTTGATTTATAATGATCTAAATTCTAATAACATTTTTAAGACCTTCAAATTTTTGTCTGCTTTTAAAACTTTTGCACTCCCGTTACTTCAATTTCTGTTCTTTTATGCAATATTCAAATGTGTTAATTCTACAAGAAATATTAGAAATTATCTTTATACAGTGCAAATTTATAATTTCATTTACAGGCATTACAGTAAAAACGTGGATTTTGGATAATAACTTCTTCTATTAAAATTAGTTATTTATATAAAACATGCACCCTATTGATAAACTTTTGTTCGGCCATTCGTTTAGTATTCCAGAAACAATATATTATTCACTATTTACAAAAATCTAAACATTCTTTACAAATCGGGTTATTATGGACTATGATATATATATATATATATATATTGAATTCTTAACAATTGATATTAATTGAAAATTATGACATTAAATTATAATATAAAAACTTTAATTTTGTCAACGTTTCAAGTAAATAAAGTAAAACTATAAAAAATAAAATTTTCTATTTAATTTAAATATACCAATTACATGTAATTAATTTATATAAATTCATAAATAAACATAAGAAAACCGTTTATATCTAATAAAGCCATTTATTTAAATAAATGTTAATATGTTTATATTATAAACAAAATAATTCTAATTTATAAATTTTTTCAAAATAAATTCGATAAATATTTTAAAAGTACCAGGAAAGTTAGTTAAAACCTAATAAAATGGTGTATAACCATCTTTAAGGTACCAGTAGATTCAAAGTATTAACTAAATAAAAAATTAAACGTTAAATAAAAACAAATTAAATATTAATACCAATTCAATAAATAAATTCTATAAAATTAAAATCACACTACTTCACAATGAGTCCACTATGTAATTGAATAAAAAACAAAACTGGATATAAATATTTACTCACGTATTTATATATGTGTGATTTTTAGATTATAATTATTCTACTACATTAAATGATCACTTTTATATGTTGCTGTATTTGCTCTTTTGCAATCCAATCATTTCTAATATACTTAATACTTCATCAGTGATTATATATATATTTAATATGTAAATCAATATTTTAATTTTGTATGATATTTAATAGATGTATCTACGAGCATCCTAGGCTTGTGTTTTCTTATTATATTTTCAACAAATGTATATATAATAAGAAAGAAATTTGAAAAAATTTTCATTAATACAAATTATAATGGCTATGCATATTAAATAAAATGTATAAATATAGTTAGAAAATCATTATAGTCCAAAATAATAAAGACAGTAATTCATAGTCCCGCGTTCAAAATTATGTATTTAACATGATATCCGTGTGTGCGCGCGCGCGCGCGCGCGTGTGTGTGTGTGTGTGTGCGTGCGTGCGTGCGTGCGTGCGTGCGTGCATGCGTGCGTGTGTGGTTTCAGTAAATAATTATATATATGATATATATATATACATATGGGAGTGCCACACAAGCTTTTGAATTATTTTAAATTAAGATTAATGTTAGTGTGCTTGTAGTTAATATAAAATTAGTGTTATTAATTGTAATGATTAAAATTTGTAATATTACATGCACGGGCACGTATAGTTCTTATTTATATTAAAAACTATAAAGATATTTTTATACTGTAATTGTCATATTCTATTAGTATGCATAAGCACATTAAGATACTTTTAAAGTATTGCAATAAAAATAATGCTCTAAAATAACACCAAATAATTGAATATATTTTTTTAGATATCTGAAGCATGCCTTAATTTATTACAAATAGTTTTTTCAAATACGACATTAATAAACTTTTAATCTTAGTGAATTGGTTTTACGATTGCAAATACACTTTACTTATATTAAAACATCATTTTAATGAAATTATTAAAATAACTAGTGCATTAGTAAAAATATCTAACAAATAGTAGAGCTAAGAATCAATCACAATAGAAATTCGGTGCATGGTATATCTCATTTGAAACAGAAACAATTATGAAAAAGTTTTATTACGAGTATTTATTGCTACATGCAATACACTTATATTTTTTCAATAAAATATACGTGAGTAACAATTTAAAAATCAAAGTAATTTAGAAAATGTAATAAGTAAATTACGCTGCATTATGCTTCAATGTCAGTCATCATTAAAAAACAACGTTTCAAAGTTCTGTCTAAAATTACATATCTCACTGGCACGTATAAAAAATGTAAGACTCGACATATTATATGGCGTTTGCTATTTGATTTTTTTAATAGAACTTTTATCAAAACTTACTGAATCTTCGTAAGAAATTGCCGGCAAAGGTGTCGTTGATGCTCGTGAATCCGGATGCACTGGACTCATCTGTAGGTCTCGTACGATTCACAAATTCAAGAGCTTCGCGTTTTCCGCTAGGATCAACTTCGCCTATAGCTGCTTTTTGGTACTTAATATCCGGCACAGATAGCAGCCGAACCTGACCTCTCTTGACCTGCAGGCTTTGAACCACCCGCTTGAACCTCATAGTCGATTTAGGTGCAGATGCAATGACTGCTTCAGGATTCACCGTCTCGAATGCAAGATTTGTCGGTCTTAAGACATCGCTCGCGCATTGTAAGCCACAAAGGAAGTCCGGAGTTCGGCCACCAGATTCTGGGACCGACGCATACCCGATCACTAGAGTCTCATGCGAACCCTCGGAAAAAACTTTCTTAAGGTTCGAGCTTTGCACTGAGGACAGTGTCTTTGGATTCAAATGTAGTTTCAAATGCCGTGTATGTTGGCTGCTGATGTAACTCTGTTAAAGCACAGGGAGTTTGTTTTCCGATCAGCCAAGTATTCATCCATCTCTTATACTCGGTCCATAGAGCCATAAGTTCACTGATTCTCGCAAGCAACTAAGACTTATATTTTGATTTTCGTTTTCACGTAGTTAAAATTACTTTATTGAATAATAAGTAAATTGGAAATAATAAATACATTTAAATAGAAAACTTCTCCAATTTAATAAAGAAATGTGAAATTAACTAATTTTTGTAAACTGATTAATTAGTTTTTTCTAATTATATATTTACCTGATATTAAAAATTTATAAAGCTTGATATATATAATAAGAAATTATAACTTTAAAAATTTTCGCTATGTTTTTATTCATAAATATAAAATGTTTTTGATATAAATATTTTCCTTATTTTAATAATATATGATTTTATTGATTAAAACAATATTTAATCAGATATATTCTATCTATTTATTTATCTAATTTTAGAATTAACTACATATTCATAATTTACTTATACAACTTATATCATTTATAATTCTCTAAATAAAAATAAAATTGTTCCTTATTTATTATATTACTTTCCATAGTTAAAAAATTTCAATATTATTATATATGCTATTGTACAAATAAACCAATTTGTATATTTAATAATTTTTTAAAATTATTATGTGTTGCTTTCCATCTATATATATAAAAAATAAATTATTATAAGAATGTGCTTTTTCTTAAACTGTTATTATATTTTGAAAAAATATATATATTATTTTTTATTAAACAGTTTATAAAAATTATAAAATTGTTTTAAAAAGTTTTTTTTCATTTATAGTATATTATTTTATGTACAACCATTAACATCTTCGATATTCTGAAATACCAACATAATTTATTAATCTATATCCTATGGGAAAAAACTTTATTTTCAATGTATCCAAATTAGTATCTCAAGCACTAACTACAATAATATTAATATTTATACATTATTTTTCAGATCTCTTCCAAAAAAACATATATAATTTTAGCTCTTAATATTTTTCTTGTAAATATACAATATTATTTCTATTTTGTATAAAAATTTACAAATCATTAAATTTTCCAATGATCGTACATTATTTGATATATTAGTATTTTTAAACTTTAGCACTATAGCCTAAGATATCTAATAGAAATCATTACCATGAAATAATTTTTGTAAACTTAAATTTTAAGATAATTATTTTTCTATAATAGAACACAACTATAGTGATTTATTCAAATTGTTGGAAATATATTGTAAACGGCGTATTAAAAATACTTATTCCAACAAATACTAATAAAAACGTAATAATACAACAGTATAATTATTAATAATCACTCATTATATTAAAATATAAAAACTCGTAAAGTAGTCGTATAGTGTAGTAGTAATATCTATTATTTTAAAATCTATTTTTTTCCTTATTCATCTTGTGAAATTTTCTTTCAACATTTCTTTAAAAACTGTAACACTGTTTAATATTAAAAATAAATTCTTTATTAGAAATATATATAAAACTAAAAATTATATTTTATTATAACTTTATTGTATTTATCAACTTAAACTTTACATTTATACTGGCATTTTCTCGAATTGAATCATGCTAATTGCTTTTAAATTAAAAAATGTTTAGTATAAAAAATAGATTTCCAGAATTTGATAACTTAAGCAACTCAATAAATAATTATTGATTAAAAAATATTGGAAAGTATTTTAACTTAAAATGATAATAAAATTTGTAATTAATTAACATTCATAGTTCTGTAACAAAATTAAGTTTATTTCTAACAATCAAATACACGTAAAATCAGTACACGTGCAAAACCATCATCAATACATCAATACTATAGGATGGTTTATCAATAACAAAAATGTTACTTAATTTCTTAAATGTTTCAATTTTACTTGAAATGCATGGAGATTATTTAAGCATATATTTGAAACAATAAAGCATATTTAATTAGAATCGTGCATTGCTACAATCATTTTCTAATACGATTTCCGATTACCATTTGCGTTTCTCTCGATATCGTTGGAATCCTCTAAAAATTGAACCACAGCAATGAAAATATATATTATATCTTTTACTGTTCATATTTATGTTATAAAAATTGAACTACAAATTGCAAATCATAAAAGGAAATATTATGATAAAAATAATTAAATCCATTTGTTTTCTTAAATTAAAGACAATATTTATTTACTAGCAAACTTTGTCGCAACATTGTCCTTAATTTTATATTTCGAAGCTATATAAATAAAAATGTCTAAACATCTTATTATAAATAAATATTTAACTGTACAAAATTGCAAGATATATAAATCTGTTAATCATGCAACTATATATGTAAAACATAAAAATATAAAAGAACTGGAATCCATCTCATAGAATGTTGAATATACATATATATAACAATCTGAGATTAACATTAGTTTGTTCATGCGTGTGTGAATATATGTTTGAGTGTGCATACGTTTATTTAGAATAACAAAACATAATGCTATTATCCTCATGTTGAATGATTAGAAACACTATATCATTCGCAGTCAATCATGTTCTGCTGGAAACAGGAAATGATTGCAACTTTTTCAGATTTCAAATATTGATCTTTGATATAAAAATTTATACCTTAAGGATAATTAAATACATTCGTGAAATATATTAAAAATGTAATATATACAATATATTTTCTCATGATTTGGAAAAAGCTAATATTAATATTCTTTTGAAGGAATATTTTATAAATTACATATTAAAAAGATTTTTGCTGTTTGATAAATTTTTCACGATTATTAGTCATGTAAAATTATAGATTTTTTAACATTATTGACGTTTAATTAAAAAACAAAAACAAAAAAAACACAAAAATAACTACCAATTTGAGTTCAATTAAGATCTAATAAAATACTATTTATCACTACTATTTTAGAAGTACGTTTTACTAAAAAAATACAAGTAAAAATAATTATTCATTATAATATATTGTTTAAATATCTCCTACTTTAAGAAAAAAAGATTTCGATATTTTCAAGCATAAACAATAGTAATAAAAACCATTTGTAATTCTACTAATAAATATTTTTATACATTTGAATAATACAACCTATTTGATTATCCTTTGAACGATACATACGTATATAAAATATTTAATTATTAAGATTTAAAAAAAAAAAACTTTTTACTCCATTTACTGAACAAAAAACGATTTATCTTGAAATGCTAAATATTCCATTTGCAGCTCAGCATCATGCAGAATAAAGCAACTAATACCTTAAAATCTTAATTTTTACAGTATAATATTTCTAGTAATCAAATTCAATTATTTGAATTAGAATATTATTCTTGAATAAATACGAATTCAAAAATAACATCTCATATTTATACTCAGATTATCAAATAGCCAAACTTAACTGTCTAGAATATGTTGAAGCAGACCATTTTTCAGTAATTAATAAAGTTTATAACTAAGATGGTATTTTCAAGAAACAATCTTCTGTATTTTTGACATTTATTACGTCTATTTTTCACATGGATGGTACTTTACAACATATGCTTTATATAAAAAGTACACAAAGTTTTAATTTTTCCTGATACTTCATACAAAATATTGTTAAGAATCAAACTATTTTATAAATTACTATTATAATTTATTTATAATGACTACTAACTAATTGAATAAAAATTCAAAAACAGGAAAACAATATGTAGATATTGTTTTATTTAATATATACTTATTTGTTAACAGGTTATTACACTGCACACATATGCACGCCCACATACATATGTATGTTAATGTATGAAATTTAATAGTCATCTAAGACACAGTAGTAATAATTCTTTTATTTTTATTTTATGAATTCTATTAATAAATAATCATAATAATATATAAGATTGTATATAACCAACTTTACTTGTATTCAGATATTAATTTTTTTCATAATCCAATTAATTTTCTTATCTAGGATTATATTAATACGTTTTTTGATCTTTTTATGCTTTAACTATTAAAATTGTATTCGAACATACATAAGAAAATCAATTATATAATATTATTTAAAAGAAAGTTGTATTTATACTAATATTAAGGATTATGAAGGACTTTGTATTAATTGTAAGTTATTATATTGTTATTGTTATTTTGTAATATTGTTAAGTTGTTATTGTAGATTATTATGAAATTCACATCTTTAACGGTATTACCATTAATTTTAATTTAATAAGCATAATAAACTATTTATTTATTAAAGTTGAACTTAAATTACTTTAAATAAAATAAAAATAATTCTAATAATGTAAAGCAAATGAAATTTATCTATTTATTATTATTAATTCACTATGAATAATAATTAACTGAATTCACATAATTAGTCTCTCTCTCTCTCTCTCTATTAATATTTTATAATATTTTATAATATTTTGGAATTTCTAATAATATTTTAAAGTAACTCAGGTTTAAGCTATACATATAGATATATATATATATATATATATATATATATATATATATATATATTTATTACTTTTTGCATTTTAAGTATCTATAAATAAGATTAATATACTGAACTATTATTCTCATTGATAAATATAATTGATAAAAACTAATATTTAATTACTATAAAAAATACTGGTGCCATATGAATTTACTTAAAGATATTATTAGTGAATTATATTTAAGATTATAGTTAAATAAAAAATCAATACTTTTGTTATTAAAATATTAACAAGGAATCATTCTAAATTGTTTTTGAAATATATTAATTATATAATGAAATTTTTAATTAAATAATTCAAAATATAACGAACTTTTATCAGAATTTAACACAGCGACCACCACTATACTACAAGCACATATTACCTTAGGGATATATATTCAGTACTAATAATTTAACCATGTTTATTTAAGGTAGGGAAGGAAAAAAAAGGAAATCGAAACTATTATAATACAAATAAAATAGAAGATAGTCACTCGATAAGCAACTTTATTTTTATAAAATATACATTAAATAATATGTTTTTAAGGAAATATATTAGAAAAAACAGTATTAATAGTAAAAAAAAAGAGAGAGAGAGAAAGTCAAAGAAGTATTTCGTAAAATAAAAAAAGTTAAAGACAATCTACAACAATATATAATTACACAATAAAAATTTATAGATATTTGTTTTACCAGTTTACGAATATATATAGTTATATGTCAATCCATAAGGATAAATGAAAGAAAAGATATTGAATCTTGTTACCTGATCTATACTCGGACTCCTAGCCTTATCATCATCACGTTTCACAGATATATCTTCATGTCGTTTTGGACTCCTTAAAGCTCGTTGGTGAGGATCAATATTATTTCCGAAATCTGATGTGCACATCACCAAAAGTGAGATCTTCTGCACAATATCCACGACTATGAGGCCTGTATCGTTCCCGTAAGCCAATCTTTGTATTGTAGATATTTTTGTAAAAGAATTAATTTTAAAATATAATTTTATACTTTTATTAATATAAAAGAGAGTTAAGAATAATTTCTTAAATAGATTTTTAAAAAATAGATTCTTAAATAGACACTTGATTATTAAAACGAAAATTACAATACAGGTCTATAGATTAAGATTATAACGAGACAAGAACTAGTTTAGAATTTTATTCTTATATTTCAATAATTTACTTTAAAATGATAAAAGCAATATTCAAATAATTATAAAAATTTATTACCCAAGTTATTTAGAATTTTCAATATTCTAATCAGACTCATAAAACTTATTTAACTGTTATAGTATACAAAACAAACATTATAATAAAAAATTATAAGAAACTTACATTACCAAACAAAAATGCTTCTTGAATATTCAAAATTGCAAAATAAATAGTTCAATATTAAAAAATAACATTTTTAATTTAAGAAACACTAAATATGTGATTAATTATTAATTGATAAAATTCAAACAAAATAATAATGAATAAAACAATAAAAATTTACGCGATATAAGAAAATCATTTTTATTATTTATTTCCAAGCCAACTAGGTATATAAATTTAATTGTTCTTTAATTATATACATTAAATCGTAATTTATAAAAATAAATTTGTATAATAAAGAATTGCAAATATTAAATTCTCCAATAAAAATTTCTGAATATTTATTAAATTACTAATAATTGTAAGTTCTGTACTGAATTTAATATAAATATATATTTTTTCTTATTATTTTCATAAATACGAAAGCGAAATAAATTAAAAAAGAAGTACATTACACAAAATAAGAACAACAAATCATGAATATTGACATAAGCAATTCTAAAAATAAAAATAATATTAATATGTTTTAATAAAAAGTAATCAATACATTTTTTTCATTATAATACAAAATATTATTTAAATAACAATAATAATAAAAATTTCATATTTTTATTAAATTCCTAAAATGTCTTGTAAAATATATTTGAAAATTTAATGTATTTAATTTCATGTTGTAAATTTTCTTATGTAAATCAAAAATATAAACGAAACATAATTAAAGATTGTGAATAGAATAGATATCTAACACTACATAAATGAATAAATTATCCAATAATAAAATACAATTAATAAAAATGGAAAATAAATTAGTATGTTGTATATATTTATAATGCATATTTATTTATATCATTTTTCTTATATATTAACCGTTCAAATAAATAAATAAAATTATAAATAACGCAGATAATAAATAAAACATTAAAAGTACTAAACAGAAATTTATTGTCTAATAGTATCACAATTGTTTACGTTATTATACATTAAATATAAGTAACATTAAATATAATATGTCAAATTGTAATGCATAAATAGAAAACCCATTGTTTCTAAATTTAATACATATTAAATAAAACAATTTAATAAGCAGTACTTACAACCCATATGACGAATTCAAACTAAGAGCAGTTATATTTTCGGGCAGTTCACCATTCGGTCCATAAGTAAGACAAACAAGTATTGCCTGGAAACCTGCAGCACGTTTCTGCATACCCGATTTTACTTTTAGTGGTCGATTCTTTTCGGCATTTACCTTAGGATCATCGCTTATATTGGAAAAATCAAAGTCAGGAGATCGTTCCATATCCTTACTTGAATCAGATACGAGTGGCACCTCCAATATCTAGAAAATGATAGGAAATTACATCGGATATCATTATAAATTTTCTACTTATAATTAATTGAACTATCTTTCTTATATTTTATAATTTTATGTAAATATATGCCCTATTATTTTATAAAATTATTAATCACAAATTATAATGAAATTAAATATCTATATTTCCCGAATGAAAAAAATTATATATCATGTTTTTAAAATTGTGAAAACCGAGTAATTGTATTTTAAATACTTTCGATTATTTTGTTTACAACAAAGAATGGATATTAATTCTAATAATAATAAAAATTATTCGAAATTTTCAATTTAATAATTTTAATTCTTAGAAGTACAAATATATTAATAATAATGACGTATTAATAATGGTAATAAAAAAATGATTTTTGATAATACTTGTAAAAGTCTGCAGAAAAATAATTAAAGTACTAATTTTTAAACTTAATCATAAATTGATTTAATAAAATATGTTCAATTAATTAAAAATTTATTTATTATATATATATTAGAAGAACTTTTAAGTTTATTACAAAATTAATTCATTTTCAAACTTATCTTCATTTTGAATTTAAATGTAAGATGGATAAACGTGAAATTAACTAATTAAATAATTTTTTAAATTTCAAAACGGAAATTTTTGTATTTATCAAAATTTATAATTTTATTACTACAAATTAGATGTAATAAATTAGTTATTTCATAACCTAAAATTTTATACTTTCAGTATTTGAGTGGGCACTATGTTAAATATGTAAAAAAGGAATTATATATATATACTTATATATGCTAAAAAAATGTCGCGTCAGTTAATATAAAGGAATAAAAATTTTAAACAGACAATAAGATAAAATTACTTTATAATTTTGATAAATTTATCTAAACTTGATTTATTGTACTTAGTGTATATATTGTTATACTAGCATAAATTTAAAGTAAGCCAACTTTTTTGTCAAAACTCAATATTATAATTTTATATTGGATAATTGTATTTTTTATAACATTTATTATGTACAATAATAATATAACAAAAATATAAATATTTGAAATGCATTTAACAATTAATAATAATTTGTAAAAATTCATATTTCAATATTTGTATGGACAACAAAAAACAAGTTCAATTTAATTAATTAATCTTATTCTAAATTAAATTAAAAATATATATTTATAATCAATAATCAACAAACATTTTCTAAAATTATATGGTATACAAGGAGTCGATTATAATATCTAAAAGTAATATTAAATGTATAAATAAATGTAATATAAAGACTGACCACAACTTCCGACATGCTTTCAATTTTCTTAAATTTGAAAAGAATTATGTGACATCCAACACTAGCAACCGCCAGCTTACGGCTTTCAGGGCAGAGAAAAATAAGCTGAATTGCTAAGGGATCTTCATTGTTCTCCATACAATGAGTTTTATTTTTTTCAAAAAGTTTTGCTGTCTTGAGCTTATATAATACTTGAAGTGTTCCCGCTGAAGCATCCCAAAATTTTATGCTCCCATCAGCGTGCCTGTATTATAAAGTTCTAATATTATTTTAAGTGCAATTCTTTCAATTTAATTAATTTAATTACTTAGCATTTCAAATTTAGTTATTCACTTTGATATTGATTAGTTTATTACCAAATTAATTTGAATGAAGAAAGAACAAGTCAAATAACACATAATAGATATTTATTATTAAAATTATTTTTACAAATTTTCTTAAACAAGGAAAATAAAATAATCAAACAAAAAATAATTATAGTTGTGAAAATGGTTATAAAAACATAATATTAATACAAATTAATTTCTTCAATTATTTAATTTAATTGAGATTAAATTAATTCAATAATTAAATAAAAATGCAATATTTCCTTAAAAATAATTCGAGTTAAAATAAAAATTAATGAAATACTTATACTTTAATATTAATATATTTAATTTTAGCATATTAAAATTTATACATCATAGATATTATACATGTATAAAGATTGGAGGGATATAATATATTGAAATTGTATTTGTAAAGAAAATTTACATTAATGCAATTACAATTTAAAACAATTTTAAATTAATTAATATTCATTAATTCAAAAGTTAAAAATAATTATATCTTCTTTAAATGATTGAAAGGAATCGGATATGCGACAAGACATATTTGAATATTACAATATTTTTTATAAACATGTAAAAATTACATAAGATATTTATCCAAAATACTTTTTAAAAATATCTGCAGTAGTAAAGTCATTCACGATAAAATTAAATATAATATCTTTTAATAAATTAGTAAATAAAGTTTCAGTTATAAATATATTCATACGTTACTTCTATCGATGCGATTTATATAAGTGATAAGAAAAGGATATTTATATAATTGTATCTATAAGTTCTAACCGTATTTTATATAAACGCAATGAAAAAATACTACTAAAAATATCAAACATGACAGTTATTAAGTTTTCTCACCCGGTAAGTACTATTTCATTGTAACTGCTGGAATTGGGGCTCCACTCACCACCAGATACTGGCCACTCCTTTTCACTAAATCCAGTCTTCTTTTGAGACTTAGATCCCACTGAGTAGAAAGCAGGGATGAGATCACCCGGGCAATCGGCGAAATAAGCGCAACAAGTGACCGGTGACTCGTGTAAATCCATAGGATAAGGATTTTCGAAACAAGGGAAACCCGTCGTTAATAGATCTATAACTACGAGATCATTTTGCAAAAGTACCACTACAGCGTATGGATCTTGAAAATCTACAAACCACAATAAATAAAAACATTAAACATTATTTCAAAATAAAATAAGTATTTTTCTTATATAAATTTAAAAATTTTTAATTATTCTTTGAAAAAAAATGTACAAACAATAAAACAATAAAATAAAAATCGAATTGGAAAATAATAACTATTCTTATTTATGTTATATATATTATATTATTATATTATTATTATATTATATATTATAAAGCGATATAGATAAATCATTGATAACAATTGTAGCCCAAGTTATTTAGATTTTAGATATTACACTTCTATTCATATAAATAAGATATATATATATAACTTTTTATAAATATACTATATTTAAATATAGGAAATTATCATAATAAAATTCTTTTACTTAGAAATATATTAATAGCCGAACATACATATTCCCGGCTACATAAGAAAAGATATATGAAATAATTATCAGTTTGTTAATTCCTTATACATACCACTGCTCCAAGGACTGTCACAAAGGGTGATAAAATCAACTATATTCTGCTCCATTTCCAAAACGGTTGTTGTCTTTCCTTGTATGACAGTGATGCTCGGCGTTCTGCCAGTCGAGTCAAAAGCTAACCCTCCTGAAAATACTATATACGCCTCTCTGAAAATAAAATTTAGATAAAACAATGATAAGCTGATTTTACTGTGATGATTGTATTGATGTTATATATTTTATATCTTTCTTGTTATAGTAATATATTATAGTAATATTACTACTATAAAATAATCTCATAAATTATCCAAAATAAAGTTAATTATATATAGTAAAATATAACGAGTTCAATTTTGATAAATAAATATTCGTTACCTAAAATATATTGGCAAACTTAAGTTTAAACGCAAAAATTCATTAAACATTTATCATCAGCAAACTAAAAATTAATTAGTATCCTTTAAAACTTAAAAAAAATCAGCATTTATTATATATTTAAAATAATTTTTATTTACAAGTACAATTTCCATAATTATGACAACGAAAACTGTTTATTTAACAAATAATAGTAAATTATAGAATTGTTATCAAGCGCCCTAGAATAATATAAATATAGTCTGAAACTATTATCTATACATGGTGTCTTTTAATCCACGAAAGTAGAAATAGATGTACTCTTACATAATGCAATCATTTCTTAATTAAAAACAAATGGAGCATGTGTGCGCGCGCGCGTATGCGAAAGAAGAGGCACGAAGTTTAACTAACATATTAGTCACAACTAGAGCCTATTACATAATATTAATGAAATCAAACTCATCTGCTTATAAATTAAAATAATTATCTTATCGTTTCATATAATATAATGCGAAATACATTTAAATAACCAGTTAATTAACTCAATTTTCAATATTTAATAAACAAAATAATTAAAAAGTATTGATTTATTAGTTTAGCATAATATATTTTCCTTTAATAAAACTTTAAATAAAAACTACGATACAAAACTTTTTTAAAAATAACTTCAGTTAAACTAAAGAATAAACTTAAAGTTTTTGTTAATCAATTAATTTTAAATAAAAAAGAATTCATTTAAATGATAAAACCAAATAATATAGTTGTAAATTACAGTTTATTACAATGAAATATAAAATAAAAAGTAAAATATTTTTATATAATCGTAAATAAAAAGAAATATTGAAAAGAATATATAAATAGAATAAAAATCTCTAAAAACTTACCCTGATCGAGAAACCTTCCACTCGACTTTCTGAATAGCTTTACAAGGCTCTGGTTCACCGTCCTTCATATTTTTTGCTGTTAGTAAGAAATTCTAAATAATTATAAAGTAAAATTAAAATTAACAAGTTAAATATTAAAAAAATTAACGTTAAATATTAAAAAAATTAACGTTACAAATTAAAAAAATTATATGATAAATACAGTAATAAATAAAATAAAGAAAAGGAAAGCGAATAAAAGAAATAAATTAAATACTTTTAAAAGTGAGCTTAATTCCTGTAATATATTTGGCATATATAGAAGCCTGATAATCTTAGACTAAGATAAATGAAAAAAATAGTATTCCATTATATATTTCATCATATATTGTTCCATCACACATTTTGATAATTGACTATAAAAATACAAACATATTTTAAAAAAATATTATTAAGTTTAAAATATAAATTTTTATGTAATTTTTATAGTCAGTAATTTTATCTGTAGATATTAATAAACTAAGAATGCTATAAATTAATGTAAATTATAAATTAATGTTATAAATAGTACGACTATGTCTATATACATAGAACATACATTTGTTATGTAAATAGACAACATAATAACGTTACATAATTGTACGTTAATTACTTCCTAAATACATGGACGGTCTATTTAATTCACGCACATAAATATAGCTGTAAATAATTCTGTACTGTAAATAAAGCTGAAAGATTAATAATGAAAATATTGTTCAAAATAAGTCGAAAAAATTATAAATCAGTAAATAAAATAATAATTTATTTCCTAATATTTATTATCATTTATCAATATTAAAATATGTGCACATGTCTATTCTATTTATGTTTCAAATATATTGAATATATACAATATATTTCGACTAAAATTAGATTATGTCATAATATCTTCATCTTTAGTACATATTTACCATGAGGGTAGGTTACATGAACGTATTTAGGCTGCCGCACAAGCCAAGTTGTAAGCGAACCAGTAGTATGACTACATATAAATTGCTTGCCTTCGTGATGCCAAGATATTGATCTGAGAGGATCATCTGTTTGCCATCTAAATTCAGCAACTTTTATCTTTAAGTCCCATAATACAATTTGCCCTGATTCATAGCCTATCAGCATCTAAAAATACATAAAAAATTCAAATAAAAATGATATCTGTTTTCTAGTAAAATATATTATTAATTTTTATAAATTTTAGTAGATAATATAATACCATTTATTTATTGTAAAATAGTTTCAAAAAATAATAAATTCAAATACTTAACCATTTTATTTGTATTAGTTATGAATGAAATAAATAGAGTTAAACTCAAAATAATGAAAAATTTGCACAAATTATTGGAAATATTAATATCATACATTTTTTACAATTTTCACTAAAAGTAAAGAAGAATATTGTAAATTATTTGGTTTTTAAAAAATAACAGAATACAGTATTTTTAATTTATGGCTTATCTTCATTTTACTATAACATTAGTTATATAATTAGATGAAAATTACACATAATGTATTTATTTTACTATATTGATTAATATCACAGATATTAGAGGATAGTTAGGCTATGGATACTTCAATTTGAATTTAAAAAAGAAAGTTTTTTATAAATTATATGGTCTAATGATATAATATAATACTTCAAATTTTACTTTAAAATTAAAATGTATTAGTTTAATATTGCTATATTAAAATAATAAGTTATGTACAATTTTCTTTCAATTAAATTATTATAAAAGGAAATCAATTTTTACGGAGACAAAAATTAAACAATTTACAATACATTTACTAGTAAAACTAGTAAAAACATATTTTAAATAATTATATACCAATAAGAATTTTATGAATAAATATTATTTACAAACTGTATTAGTAAATAAATTACGTAATAATATCTAAATTGTATGAAATGACAGTTACTAAAATATATAAGGTTTAATAATTAAAAAATAATATTTATATATATAAATAACTTTTCCTGTACATAAATAAAAAAAATTTATATTCAAATTTTATGAATATATGAAAAATAAACAATATAATAAAGAATACAGAAACAAGGAAATCAGATAGTGGATTCAAAGTAATGATCTTTAATTATTATTAATTACAGTAAATAATGTATAGTGATAAGAATATATTAATGGAAACAATTAGAAAACTGTGATAGGCGATGGATGAAATAAATTAAAATACTTTACCGTTATTTGCTAATCTTGAGCTCTAATGAAAAACTTTAATAATGAACTATTTTAAAAGATTCAAAATATTAATGAATCATCAGATCACATGATATGATTAGGTATCATATTTAGACTTTTATGCGAAAATTTCGCCGTATCCCATAATTTGTTTATGTGCAATTTCTAACTGCATACGTTTGTATACATTAATGCCCTTCGGTTGCACTAATTCCTAATGCAGTCACCACTTCATTAAATTTCGATAAACTATAAATTCGATAGAATTCGATAGAATTCTTTTTTGAGTTAATTTCACTTATAAATGATCAACGTTAATTTTCTAAAAACTTTCTACTTTAAAGGTAAAATCAATGATCAATAGAATTTTTTTAATATTTTCTAATTTATATATTTTTGAATCGATTAGTCTACGTTTTCGTCGATCCAAAAAAATTGACCGTCATTATGTTAAAAATATTTTGGGAAATTATAAACTCCAAAATAAAATGTGATACTAGTTAGTTACTTACTTACTAGTTCAAGTATTGCGTTATATTTGTTATTTGAAGACATAACTATAGTCCCGAATAAGTATATATATATATATCAAAAACACAAAAACCTTTCTATTCAAACAGGTCTTGATAGATTGTAAAAAAACGAGAATTCCTACCCATTATTAGACCATATTTATTATTAGAGTCGTTATAGATTATTTTTGGACTGTCTTCAATAACAGCTCCAAAGTCAGTAATGAATATCTCAGTAATGCTTTAACCAATACCAATTATAACGGCATCCCTATAATTTACTTCAACAAGAATAAAAATGAGGCTAACTATTATAGAAAATTTATATTATGTAATGATATATAAAAAAAATATTTATATTTTTCGCGATATTTATAAAATTTGTTTGTATATTAAAATCTTACAGATATAAATTAGTAATTTTTATTTAAAAATATATATAAAGTACATAAATTGTATCACTGAAAATAAATGGATATTGTTTCTTTCCATAATACACAAAATTTCAGTAGATAATTCGAATTTCTTACATTTTTCATACATTTTGTTAGTACAACCTAGATATATTATTTCTTATTCTCATGTAAATAAAGAAGGAAGTTTTAAATCAACCAACATGTAATGAATATTATGAAAAATTTATAAAAATTTGCGATAATTTTGATACGATAATTCTAAAATAAACTCGAATATTTTTGTAAGGTAAATTTGTAGTAAGATTAAATAATACTTGAACGTAACTTACCTTATTTAGATCGAAAGGGTTATCACTTAAATGTATTACTGAACCAGGATGTGTCTTTCTTGATCTATGAACAAATATGATACATATAATATATTAACTTTTGTACTCATAGGTATTTAATATAATCGTTGAAATAGAGAAGTATATCGATAAAACAGATTACAGACAATATTTTATAACTGTTTCACTTAAGTGTTGAAATTTTTAAGAAATTATTATGTCTATGTATTCATTATGCGGTAAATAATAATTAGTTTCTAATCAATTAAATGTAAATAATAATACATAATTTGAAATAAAATTTTTGTCTATATAAATAAATCATATCTAGAACATACCTACATCTAATAAGTAATCATATCTATACTAATATACTATGAAGACTTATCTATAACTGAATTAGTAACTTTCAAGTTACAAATCTATATTGAATAAATCATATAATTATTATAAGATATTTGATTATTGATCATTTTAATGAACCATAAATAATAGAAGATATAATAAAATATATATATATATATTAAACCTTAATATATATATATATATTAAACCTTAAAAATTTATAATATTTATTTAACTCTTGAAAAATTTAATGGAAACGCATTATATTCCCTAAGATAAATTTTAGGTTCTACATTAACTACCGTGTTTATTTTAATTTAAAAAATATATACTAAATTGTATAGAGCTATAAACTCGTAACCAATAAGATCTAAAAATGTACAATTCATATAATTAAAATAATTATTTTCAATTAGTCATATTCAGCATTGATAAATTATAATACCTGAAATTTATTATCTTACGTGTAAAATTTATTTATTTCTCTTTTTCTCTCTTCTTGTTTTTCTATTCATTTTATTTAACATCCATTTATCAACGAATTTTGTTCGGTTCTGCGTTTATTAGCATGGTTAACATCAAACGCAACGAACGATATAAGAACTTTTTCCCAACACCTTCCGTAGTAACAATAACAATAAATATTTTGAAATATTTAGATAAATGCACATATGTACCAATACATATATTTCAAGGCCAAGATACACTTATATATATACAGATTAAATTTTTTAAATATTGTGTATTTAAAAAAAAAACTTTTTTATTTGTACAAGTTAATGTTTAAAAATAATTACAATAATTTAAAAATTATTGGTAATATTCAGTTTAAGTTTTTAATTTACATATTAAAAAAAATTTTAAGCCTATTAATAGAAAATGGTTTTCACACTCTTATAGTGTACACATTATAGGCATCTAAATAATAGTCAGCTATAAATCATATAGTTTATTTTTATATTTTCAATTTCTTTGATGCAGAGCAAATTTTTTATTTAATATTCGTAGATTTTAACATTTTATCAAACATATGATTTTTTATAATCGATAATGAATACTGTTTTAATATTATGTAATACATTTTGTATAGTTCTATACACATTTGCGAATAATAAATCAACATAACTCAAAAATAACATCATAACATCCACTTAAACCAGCTACTTATATATTGTTCTTTTTAAAAAAGTTCTTTCAAAATTTTAGCTGGTTTAATTATTATAATAATTTCAATTTCATTCCTGACTCGCAATATAAGAATTATTTCTGTATAAATAAAATGACTATAATTACTACTCAATTATTTCGAAAAATTTTAATGAAATTGAAACTTTTTATTTGAAAAAGTTTAAACTCTCGATTTTGATGATGCAATACTTTTCTTCAAAGATATTTAGGCTATTGTATATATTTGTAGTGTATAAACTTACGATTAACTATCCAACACGCTCCAAACTCCTTATTTTCACTCATTTCTAATTTTTCGTAATCTAGTACAAATATATTACGTAGTCCTCCTTTCTATACATAATAATATTAATTGCTTTTTATTCATAGACTTCTATATCAATTAAGATGAGATAGTATAAATAATTAAGATAAAAAAATTTTACCGAAATATCTTTATAATATATGGATAATTTTTATATTTATATAATTTATTTAAATTTTTATCATTTTTATAATTGTTAACCTTTATTTAATAAAAAAAATGTAAAATGCACCAAATGAGTTAAAATCATTGTATCAAGTAATAGACTAAAACTTTACATAATATAAATATAAATGAAAAATTAAAAATTGTAGATTTCATGAATGCACATCATTTATAGTATAAGTCTATTTTTGGTGCCTATGAAAGATAGCTGATAAAATTTTAATTCTTCAGAATTATATAAATTCTATCAATAATCTTCCAATATTAGAGACAAAAACTTATCAATCTCATACGATAATGAATAAATTTTGCGATAAATTAAACTTCCATATATTAATGTTTTCTTAAAAATTTGCTCAAATAATAAACTATAATATTTTAAATTACGATTCAATTACGACATTTAGGTTCAATATCACTATTATCTAATAAAATAATAAGCTATTTATAAAATAATACATTTACTATTTATATGTATAAATTATATATATATAAATAACCGATTATTTACTAAATACATATATTTTTTTATACTTTTTTTTAAACACGATTGTTTTTTAATTTATGGCAATTTACAGTAACTAATTTATGTATAAAAGGAAAATTGTATAATAATATAAATAATAATACTAAATATATAGTACTATGTATGAAGATTGAAAATGAAACATTTATTTAAAGGCAAAAATTATAAATGCACCGAGATTCATTATTCTATAATATTTGATATTCTATTATACGGCGTTCACAAAATACTAATTTCACTTGCAACCTATAAATCTGATTATATTTTTATATCGTTCAAACAATTAAATAATACTAAAGAGCTTTTAGTATTTCGAAAAAATTCGATTCTGGTAAAATTAGAAAAGAATCCTGGAATTTCTAAAAAATGAATTGCCCAAAACTATTGAATGAAAATCAACAAGTGATTTTATATAAATAAACTACCGATTTTTAAGCATACATATTAACGATACTTGTGCAACAAATAAACGAATTAATACCTTTACATTAACTTATTTTTCTCAAACTATAAGGAATAAGATTTTTAAATTAGTCAGAACAAAATATATATTATAACTATTTCATAGTTATTTAAACAAATATAGAATAAATGACTAGAGTTGAAGTGATTTTTATTTTACTAGATTAAATAAAATAATCTGGATGAATGCATATTTTTCAAATTTAAAATAATTTACATATTATGTATTAAGTACCAACAAACATTTTGTTTTATCATAATTTGACGGTTGCACAAGAAGACTAAAATATTACAAAAGAAAGAATTTTCATTGATTCTGTACTGAGAAAATATTTTTCAATATATGTTTTGTCTCTTAAAATCTACTTTCATTATAGAGTAGTTAAAAACCTAATCATAATTATAGCTCATGTTTCGTAGCATAATGTAATGCAAAAATATGGTAGTGACACTTTTAATACATTGTTTAATAAACTACATACTGAAATAATATATATGAGTACTAAGTCTAGGAATATAAAATTTATGTTCGTGTCGCATAAAATTATTTAAAATATAGCTATCAACTCATCCCTACCAATTGCATTTATCTTTACATTCAAACGATCTCATGCGATAATGAATAAATTTTACGATAAATTAAACTTCCATTTATTAATGTTTTCTTCTAAGATTTAGGAGATTGAATATTTTAATATTACAGATTTTTGAACAATTTTTGTATCAAACATATTACCCATTATGAAATTTATATAAATATAAAATTATATTTATTAATAGTCCCTAAAAATAAATATAATATAAAATTATATTTATTAATAGTCCCTAAAAATAAATATAATATATAAAATTATATTTATTAAAAAAATAAATATAATATAAAATTATATTTATTAACTTTTTATACTCGATAAAATATACTATAATTGATCGGTTTATATATAATTATGAAAGATTTTAACAATTAAAAAAATTTAATGTTGATCACCTACATGAATCAAAAATAAATTATTCTTTACAAATAAAAAAATAATATTTTTTATAAATTTAAAATTGTTCCGGATAATATTATTTACTATAAAATATTTTTTAAATTTTCTAGAAGAACTAATGTTAGCAAATTTTGTATTAAAGAATCAATATACATAAAACCGTTAAATAAAAACATAAATTGATTTTTAGAAAATCCAATTGAATTGTGTAACAACATGTTTCTAAATATTTAATACATTTAAACATTTTTATCTGTTTATAGACAATAACTATTTAAATACATAAACATAATATAATTACTCACTATAATTAACACTAATACTTAAAAACTATTATAGTTCCGTAGATGTTGTATTTATTATCAACGTTTAAAAACTGAAAATTCAATAAGTTGAGTTTACAGTTAATATTATTATTTAAATTATTAAAGTATAAATTATGTCATTGTTTTTAAAATGATCTGACTTTGAAATCGAATAAAATATTTTTATAATAAAATCATTATATGATAAAAAGGGAGTAAAAAAAAAAAGTCAATGAAAAAGGGAAATACCAGACATATCAATTGATAATGCAAACATAAATATCAACATTTTAATTCAGATTAACAAAAACTTGTACGATTTAATAGTTAAGAAATCGCATCACTATTTTAACTGTAAATAAAAAATAGCCAGAATATACGCTATCAATTTATGAATTGAAAGAAAAAAGAGGAGAAACAAATAAACTTTGATACTTTAAATGTATATATACACGTATATAGATATTTATTTTTACTTTTCCTTTTATAGCGTTTTTCAGAATATTATCTTACTCTATCAGTTAATAATACACTTAATTACTTGATTTTTCATTTCATATAATTCATCAAATTTATTTATATATACTTATATATTCAACTATAAACTTACACTTCGATCGCCTTATTCCAGTTGATAACGTAACCCGATAATACAAAAGTCTCGATGTGAAGTATATGTACATTGCCTCTCTCTGTGCCAACATACAGCCATTTGCTTTGTAATGGCAAATGAATATAAGTTATTCTGTAATAAGATGGAAAAAAATTAATACTGTAAAAATATAAATATATACATTTACATATGTAATATTGTAGTAATACAATACAGGAAGAAAGGAGAGCGATAAATAATATCGGACATCTCATAATTATATGCGAGAATGAGAGAAGTCATATAGGAACATGCAAAATTAAACCATGCCATATATAGTATTTTTCATTCAAAATAGAAAAGTAAATTAAGAATATTTTTCACTAATTTGTCATGTTAGTGTTTTTTTTGTACATGAAGCATCCTACGTAATAATCTTCATACAATGCATTGCATTAGTATATTTTATACGTTTGCTCATCAGTAATGCTAAGGAATCAAATAATTAAATATTTTTGTCTATTTTATATATTTTTTTCTTCTTTTTCATTTTCTATAACTTATTTAGTCATCACCTAATTTTTCCATATAGATACACAAAATCACAAAATAAATTTATGTCTGGATCGTTATTTATAAAATAGAAAAGAAAAAAGTTCCTGCATAGTTCCTGAATGGCTCCTTAATAGTTCTAATTTTCTTGATTTCCTACTTTATTGAACAATATGCATTTATGCATTAGCTTACAGTAATGTGACTCAGTGACCCTGACAATATTCGAAGTATCCAGCCGTAGAAAACACAAGCAAGATGGAAACGTGCGCAAAGATACGTAGCTGAAAGCTAAAAATATGCTATTATCACTTTTAATATTCTTTTTAATGCCCTAATTCCAATAAAAATACACATGTTATATTCTCCTTCATTTATTTACCATATTTCTATTCTTTTATTTTTTGATACCATTTACTTTTGTTTTAAACAAGTTTAAGGTTACGACCACATTTTAAAAATGAGACGTATAGTATAAAATAATTATTATTTGAAAATAATAAAACTATTTTACATCATTACGGAAAAATTACAAAAATGTATATAAAATTATTTAAGTACAAAAAAATAAATAAGAAATTATTTTATTTGAATTTCCTGTGAAAGATTTTGACATATTTAAAATACATATTTGTAATAAAAAAAACAGCGATAATGTTCAATCAATAATCTGTTACATGAAAAACTATTACTGATTAATAATACTTAAAAATTAAGTACTTTAATTATATGAATATATTATTAAAATATTTTTTAATTAAAAAATATTTAGCAAATAGTAAAATATGATATAATTATACATTATTAAATATTTATTAAATAAAATAAATTATAAATACAAATAATAATTTATTGTGTTAATCTAAAAAAAAATTTTGTTAAGAAAACATTGTTAAGATCTTTCTGTAAATTATACAATATCGTCGATTTTATTTTATCGCAACTTTTGTGTCAATACTATTATAGAGACAAATATTTATTCTTATCTGCAATAATTCACCAAATGATTTACAAGTAAGTAAGCTTAAGCAGAATGATATAGAATTTAATTTTAGAATTTACTTTCATAAAGCAATACTTATAAGAAAAATTAATTTAATTTAAATTATATCATTGATACCAATATTATTATAAATTTACATATTCGAACTATTGTTATTGAATTTGTATTTGTATTATATATTTTTCTATTAATAAATTATACCGCAAACGATGATAACTGAAAAAACAAAGATTATTATATCGTTGAATTAAGAATTATGGATGATCTTTATAAATTTAATTGAATATAATACAAATAGTAAATAAAGATAAAATGATAAACTAATAAAAGTTGGTCAACCATGTTATCTATAAATTAAAATAGATTCCTAAATATTTACCTAATAAAAAATTAAGAAATTCACGTGAAACTACAAATTATAAAAGCATAAACCATGTAAATATTTTAAAAGTAAGAAAGTCAATTCCAATTTTCTTTATAATGAAGAAAGCACACAAATACAGACATATATACAAATAGATAATCTCTATCCATATTATCCTATAAACAAGTAAATTAATTGAAGAATTTAAAAACTGTAATCCTCCAACAAATCTACGTTTGCTTGAATAATTAAAAAAAATTCCATATCAAAAGTATTTTAGTATTTTAAAGTATTTTTTTCTAAAATCAAAATATCATATAGTGCAAAAATTAAATGTATTAGATGTGTTGACTTATCTACATCGTACATAAGCTATTAATCTAATATTCTACACTTTAAGAAAGTGTAATTATTTTTATCTTATCCATTACATTTTATTTTTGTTAAAATTAAAATTACTTATCTTTGCATTATATTATTGCTACCGGTATTATTTTATACTATTTGAAATTACATTGTGCTACTCATTATCATATATATTATAGACATCAAATAATTATAAATTTTAAATAAAATTTTAACTACTAACAAATAATTAAAAATTAAAAATGAATTGTATAATTAAAATTAAGACAAATTTTATCCTCAACTGTTTTCAAATAATTCATAATCAATGCACTCTATTTTTTGGCAGTTAAAAAAGTTATTATTAAACGGAGAAAAGTAACTATGCTACAATAAGAACAATCAAAGGAAAATTTTATTAACTCGATAGAATAACAAAACATTCGTAATTACGTCCACAAATTTAATAGACCGGCTGATTTGTAAGAATTCTAGTTTTTCTTTTCTATTTTTCTTTTTTGTTCCTTTATTTCCTCTCATTCTCTTTTTGAACAAACCATAAATATGTCCAACTGCATTAAAGTTACCTTTCTCGCTGAAACTTAAGGCTTTGAACTACTTGTGGTATTTTTTGACGAAAATTCCATAAATGAACAGTATCGTCAGTGGTGGCAGATATGAGGGCACCTTCATTTATAAGAAATTCTATCTGCGTCACAGCACAATCGCCCTCGTGCTTCACATGCACATCCACGCCAGGTCTGCCCAAACTACATGATTTGACTGTCAAGAAAAATTGTTTTCTACTTTTGTTACTTGTAAAAAAAATTTTTTTCCATTTTTTAAATGATTATTAATATATAATTTGTATCTAATAGATGTAAATAATGTAGCATACAAATATTGAAATTGTATATTTTTATCAGTAATATATACATTCAATAAATATAATGTAATAAATATATTCATATATATATTTATAATTTAATATGTATTGATCTATTAACTATAATTATATAACTTAATGCCGTTAAGTTTCGTGTTATAATTTTTTTATAGCAGTGATGTTATAAACTTTCTTTAAACACTTATAAAATCTTTTTAAATTGCCGAATATTATTACTTATTCGGTATTTATTATTATAAGCTATTATTTTATAAATGTGAAAAAACTAATGAATAAAAACTATTAAATTTCAACTATTTTATAAGACTTTCTTTCATTAATATAAGAGTTGTGTACGAGATACACGATACAAAAATAAGCATAATCTTTTAAAAAGTTCATATTAAATACATTTTATAAGTAAATCATATTATATATTAATAATTATATTTAACAAAACTTTTTGTAAATTATGGTTAAAAATATATAAAATAGAGACAATTATCAAAAAACAATATTAATTGATAAGTACAATATAAAATAGATTTATTTTCCTTACTATTAAAATAATAAATATTTTTAAGTACACAGTCTATCGAAAATTGCTAAAAATAACTAGTAAATCATCATAACTGTAATAATAAAAAATAACTAGAAACCCATCAGAAACTTATGAACGAATTGAAACGAATTAAAACGTAAGACGATAGCGCGGGGGGCATACATAAAGGGCTTATGGGAGTATATGCATATGTATGTAAATATATATTATTTTTAAAAAATTAATGACTTCTAGTTACAGATAGTATATCGAAAAGAATTTTCTTTGATAAAATTAAAAACAACTCTTTTACAATTATAATTAAAGATTTAAGATATATACAATTTAAAAAAAGAAATCAGCATCAAAAAACTATATTATAACTAAAATTCTATATAATTATAATATATTTAAGTCAATTTTTAATTCTATTTTGTCAAATTCTACAGAACACTTATACACTGAATATGTTTTATTTCAAGTAATCGCATTTCCTAATTAATAGTAAATTTCTTATTTTAATAATATTTAAATTATACCTATAATTTTAAGAAAAATTATAAATTATTTATTTAAAATGAATAATGAAATATTTTATATATTATAAATTTAATAAAAATTCTATATTTACTGTGTATCATGATTTTTTGTAATTTAAATAAAATTTTATATTTAAAAAAAAATTGTAGAGAATAAATAATTTTATTTTTCAAATCAATTTTAATATGAAAAATTACTTAATTTCTATAAAATTATCAATCTGAAGATTAGTAAAATTTTCATATATTTATACATATTTCTAAATTGAAGTTAATTTATGAGTATTAAAAATTATAATCAAAATAAGAACAGAGAAAATGTAATTAGATGAATTAAAAAAAAATTCTGTTTAGAAATACTAAAAAATAAAAATTGATTTTAATTTTTCTGTTCAATATATTAAAATCAAACTTTAAATGTGATATGATCTAAAAAAAATAACCATAGTTAGATTGAAAATAAATTAATATCATTACCTTAATTTTATTATCAATGGTGAATATGAATAGTATATATAAAATAAGATAAAGCTATAAATATATAATTATGTATATACAAGTAATTATTCAAAATTTTAAAATCACAATATATTTTTATGACATAAATTTCATTTCTTACATCTTTTATATGTTTACAAAAATTATTTTGTATTTAAACATTAATAAGCTTAGAATAAAAATTTATAACAATAAAAAGTTTTATCACTTTCATTTACGAATTAAACAAAAATATTTGTTGATTCTATTAAAAAACGCGATGATTAATAATTGATTACAATTATTGTTTAAATTTACGGTTTATAATTTTCTACTAATGAAATTAAAAAAAATTCTTAATATTAAATATACTAATACTTTAAAATATTTTTTAATTTAATTGTTTATTTTATTATTTCAATAAAAGTAATATTTATATTACTCTTTAAATGTAGGTAAGAATGAAGCAGAAATTTAATAATGAAATTTTTAAATTACTAGTAAATGTAGTTAATTTTTTGAATAATTGTAATCGTTAAAAAATTTGAAAATCTTTTTATTTTTTTTTTTAATTCATTTATTACTCTTTAAAAATTTACTTTCTATTATTTAAACTTATTTCATTGATTAAAATTATTAGGAAAATTTTTTCTTAATGATATCTTACACTGTTTTATTTATATTTTTAATTTATTAAAAATGATTGATTATTTAAATAGACAATAATTATATAGATAATTATTTTATATAAAAACAATTTTTATTTTTAGTTATCTATACAAAATTTAATTTAGAATTGACATATTTATTTTAATTTTGCTTCCTAGTATTTTCTCTATTTTATCTTCACGTGAGAAATTTCATTAAATATAAATAAAATATGTTTAAATAAGAAACATTTTAATGAAAAAGAAAAGTGTCTTTGCTTATAAATTTATTTCTATCACCTTGTAACACCAAATTCAAAACCACTGTCATTGTCCTATGACCCTAACGTACTCAATGCTGCTGCCGCTTCAAATCCCTACACATGAATACGTACTTATATTTTTTTTTGGTCGAAGATCCGTTTTCGTCAATAGATGTCGAAGATTCATATTCTTCAATATGGCGCGCATGCGTGCATATATAGATCAGTACAAATACTAAGATTATCATTATTAAGCAAATTATCAATAAGAAAGGATACATCCGCAACGATCCGGATTTAGTACCGATAGCTATTAACCTTTGTATCGGATCGAATGCCATGGCACTTGGTTGGTATGGAAAACCATGTCTGAATGTCTATAACAAAGAGGAAATATATTTTAAATTAATAATTACGTTTTAAATTTCAATTATTAATATTTATTTTTTCATATTAACTTATTATATAAATTTTATATAGATTGCGAATGAATTTCTGAATTATCATAAAGATCATATTATTCTTAAACAATATATTCAACAAAATTCATACTTATCATATATTAACATTATACTTACATTTATATATTAGCGTTATACTTACACTTATATATTAACATTCTAATTACATTTATATATTAACATTATACTTATATTTATATACTATTAACATATATTCTTCGAAACAAATATATATTTACTTTAAACATTAAAATTAATTGTAAAAAAAATAAATCGATATAAAACTATATTTGATAAATATAATTTTTACAGGAAAAATTATTAATTATATTACCTAAAATAGATTAATATCTAATAATGCTATTGAATTCTTGTAAAATTCTAAATAATTTAGTAACACAAATTTAAAGCAAAATCAACATATATAAAACCAAAATGATAGAATAAATATACTAAAACATATAAACAAACAAAATATTTTCTTACTATTCACTAAATACTTTATTAAATATGATACAATAAATTAAAATATAGTACAGAAGGATACAATTTCAAAAAATTAATTCAAAATAATAATATCAACTGATATTATATTATTATACGAAAAATAATCAAATAATATTAATTACTCAGTTCAAACTTTACATTAATGGAATTTATAAAGCATCGAAATTATAATAAAAGTAGCTGTATAGTTTATATTCACTTAGTTTAACGCTGTACAATACAACAGTACTCAATATAAAAAATATTTATCTTCGTAGTATTTCCCAATACATCAGGTAAGGTAAGCTCAGAATACGATTGCAACTACAAAAAAATTATTTTTGTTGGTGTATGCAAGAATGTGAATCAATTGATAAATCAAAAAATGAAAAATAAAATTCTATCTTATTAAATAAACAAATACACTGATAAGCCAATGGTCGAGTGATTCTATATTTTATATCAGATTTAATAAACACTTTTAAATTGATTTTGATGTTTTACTTTTATTTTCGCTTAATAATCTCTATTTTTAATTTATATTACTTATAAATAATTAATATCATTTTATATAAAATAATTTTAGATATAATATATCATAATATAATATATCATTTTATACATAACATCATATAATAGAATAAATCGTTTCATTTACGAAGTAGCAATTTTGCGTGATTTCTTAATATGAAATAATTATATAAATTTTAACTACATTAAAATATCGTATTTATTAATAAATATTATAAAACCTTTACGATAATAGACGCAATTATACAATTACTTATGAATTATTATCCTTAAACAATATTTGATTATTTGAAAGAATTAATTTAAAACAAATTTGATTATGTAGTTAGCCAAAACTCATATCTGTGGATTTTTTTAATTTAATCTTTTTCCAAAGATTGAGCTTTAGAATCACATATGTCTAATTCCAGTCAACTAAAAAGTAATCTTTTCTGAATATCATATATCAATATAAACATATGTAAATTATTAAAATTTTATATTGAAAATAACAATATGTAATAGTAAAACAATTTTTATTTTATTTATTCTATAAAATAGTTTTATTCAAAAATTTATTTTACATTTTTAATATAACTTACGGTTCAATATCATTGATAGCATTCAATAGCATTCTAAATAATTCAATAATTATTAGAAATGTATGATGATTCGTTATTTCAAACATTCTATAGTAATTTTTATGAAGTAAAATAGTTTATGTGTTAGATTTTTAACCTTTTTTGCCAAATATTTTTCGTAAATAAATACCAATCCAAATATAACATCATTGAATAGCAGTTTCTTATGTATCTCAATAACATCTAATATTTTAATATTTTATTCACAATATTAGATTATCAATTTAGTTATTACACAATTTAGTTATTATCAATTATATCAAATCCTTTTAAAAACTTTTATTAAAAATAATACACAATAATCAATATTTGATTAATTTTTCGATTATTAAAGTTAAAATAAACAAAATAAAAATTTTTGTTTTTTATTTAAATAATAATGTTAATATAATTTGAACAAAAATTTAATTGAAAAAATAAAATAATGTTTAAATAAAATTCTTAAGTTTAATTTGATAATTTATTGTATCAAATAAATAATTATTAAATAATAATAAATAAAGTAATAAAAAAGACTCATATAAATAATCATAATTATAAATTAAGTGTTCACTTCAAAAATTCACTTTAAATATTTAGATTTATTGTAATAAAAAATATTCGATGAATATATATTTATGTACCTTTTTTATTAGTTCGTTAGGTACTTAATTCACTATTAGAAATATTTTTTTATATTAATGTTGTAAATATTTGATAGTATTTGTATATGGAAATTGTAGTTTATATAATTTTATATAGAGTAATGCCAAAAAGCTCTCCTATTAATAATGAAGGAAATTTTCGAGAAATTATTTGTTTTCATAAGTTAAATTTTTTTAATTTAAAATTATTATAAATATACAATTATAAAATGCAATTCCTAATTGTATTAATAATACAATAATTAGTATTAATAATAAAATAGTATAGATAGTTTTTACTAAGTACATCTTATATTTAATTTAATTATAATAAAAATGTCTACGTTAAGATGAATATTGTTTATTTTATAAATAGGATTATTGGATTTCAATTTGTAAGTCCCTCTGTGAGGAATGTTTTATATACAAAAATATAATGAGTAAAACTACAATAAGGGATAAACCTACAAATTTCTATAATAATTTAAAAAATTATTTCTAAAGTAAGTATATATTTTGGAATTGGTTTTATAGAGAGGAATTCCATTTTAATAAAAAATGAAAACTGATGTTATATTAATATTATGAAGAGACGAAAAATTATTTTAGTTTATATAATCAATAATATGCTATTTAAATAATAAGACTTTGAAATTTTATAAAAAAAGTATTCAAATTTATTTATAAATAAAATTGATAAAAAACTAAAATTTCCCCATATCATTATGTATGCACATATATTATTAATGCTTCATAGCATATTCCTAAATTTTACGTAGTTTTCAGGGTTCAATGTACTTGTAATTCTTAATGATCAAATCATAATTTTAATTTTATTTTATTTTTAAAACTTTTATTTATTAAAATATGGTAATTTTTCATGTCACATTTACTATATTTGTTTTTATAAAAGTATTTTCAAAAATAAATGTTTGATGAACATATTCGTAAAACATCTATATTTTATATCTATAAATTATATACATTGTTATAAATTCTAATAATAATTTACAATATGAACAAATAATATTTCCTGACAAGATCTATTAATAAGAGTTGTTAAGTTATGTCTTCATGTAGATAACTAATGGTATACAAAAGTATGTTCAACATCAAATTTTAACTGTAGTAACGAATCGTTAATTTTCTAGAGAATTAATTATTAATTATATATAATTTACCGAAGAATTATAAAATAAGTGTTAATAACTGATTTCCGCTCTTAAATTTCAATTAAAATAGCCATCGATTAAGCAATGATATTGATGAACTTAATTGATCAAAAATATATCTTCACATTATAAATGTATTATAAATATTAAAAATCGATTCATTTTATTTTAAGGTTCGATTTCTAAAAATACTACATTTATAATTTGTAATTCTTCATCTGTTCTATAAATTAGGAGTTATTTTATAATGTATTTTAAACCCATGAAGTTTAACAACTACTTATACATGTCGATATTATAAATTAATTATTGATATTATAATTATATATAATAAATAGGCATATTATTAAATGTAACCACTAACTAGTATTCGAATTACAACTAATAATTACAAGAAATATTTTTAAATTATATTTCTAAGTAATAAATATATAAATATTTTATAACAATAAAATATGAAGTTATGTAATCAAATTTAAATCACTAACCAAAATCAATTATACAATTATTGAAGCATTCTTACTGAGGTAAAAGTGGTAAAAAGAAACCACAATTACTTAACTTTAATAACTAAAACGTAAATTATAATTTTAAAAGTATAATATTTAAAAAAAGGGTATGTAATTGTAATAAGTACATACATAGATGCATTAAAAATTAAAATGTTTAACATTTCCAAAAATGGAACTGAAATAGTTTTATATGTATACATACATATATATGATACAATATTCTTTCTAAACTGAATGTAAGTAACACCTATCATTACCTTACTTTATATATATTTAGTAACTATATTGTAATACTATTTATTTTATGTAAATAATTTTAAAATAAGAAAGAAATACTAAAGGTTTTTTATTAGTTCAAAATTAAAATAGCAATAACAAAATATTCATTAACCAATCCAACTAATTTCTTAAATTAATTAAAATTCCTATTTTTTATTCTATGTTGAAAAAATACTTTAATACCGAATATATATTAAATGCGTAATTTTACATCCATTTTTAACGTAATAGAATTCTACTAAGATAGATAATAAAGCCTAATAAAAAATTTACATTGATATTTTGTAAAGATGCCTTAAATATATACAAATAAAATAATTACATTTCGTAACACGAAATATTATGAACAATAAATAACGTTTTTATACTATTTTTCTTAATCCATACTCATTGATCCATATATTTTGTATATTATATATTGGAAGTTAAATTTTATAAAATACAATGTACAGGATACTCATAAGAATTATTATTTATAAAATATTAATATTAATTTTAAATTATAATTAAAAATAATATTTATTAGCTAAAAAATTGCGATGTATAAATCTAATTAATATAATCTAATCTAATCTAATTAATATATAATCTAATCTAAAATTTTAATATACTGTTGTAAGAATGAAAAATTTTTAAAAAAATCAATTATACTATCAATTATTAGATTTAAATAAAATTTAGAAATATTTATTT